AGACCAAGTCCATATTAAGGCAAGAACAGCTCAAATAAGCAAAGAGAAACAACAGTCCATCATTACTTTAAGACATGAAGGTCAGTCAATACGGAACATTTCAAGAACTTTGAAAGTTTCTTCCAGTGCAGTCGCAAAAACCATCAAGCGCTATGATGAAACTGGCTCTCATGAGGACTGCCACAGGAATGGAAGACCCAGAGTTACCTCTACTGCTGAGGATAAGTTCATTAGCGTTACCAGCCTCAGAAATTGCAGCCCAAAAAAATGCTTCACAGAGTTCAAGTAAAAGACACATCTCAACATCAACTGTTCAGAGGATACTGTGTGAATCAGGCCTTCATGGTCGAATTGCTGCAAAGAAACCACTACTAAAGGACACCAGTAAGAAGAAGAGACTTGCTTGGGCCAAGAAACACGAGCAATGGACATTAGACCGGTGGAAATGTGTCCTTTGGTCTGGAGTTCAAATTTGAGATTTTTGGATCCAACCGCTGTGTCTCCGCATGTGTATTTCCCACCGTAAAGCATGGAGGAGGAGGTGTTATGGTGTGGGGGTGCTTTGCTGGTGACACTGTCTGTGATTTATTTAGAATTCAAGGCACACTTAACCAGCATCGCTACCACAGCATTCTGCAGCGATACGCCATCCCATCTGGTTCGGGCTTAGTGGGACTATCATTTGTTTTTCAACAGGACAATAACCCAGCACACCTCCAGGCTGTGTAAGGGCTATTTTACCAAGAAGGAGAGTGATGGTAGTGCTGCATCAGATGACCTGGCCTCCCCAATCCCCCGACCCCAACCCAATTGAGATGGTTTGAGATGAGTCGGACTGCAGAGTGAAGGAAAAGCAGCCAACAAGTGCTCAGCATATGTGGGAACTCCTTCAAGACTGTTGGAAAACCATTCCAGGTGAAGCTGGTTGAGAGAATGCCAAGAGTGTGCAAAGCTGTCATCAAGGTAAAGGGTGGCTATTTGAAGAATCTCAAATATGAAATATATTTTGATTTGTTTAACACTTTTTTGGTTACTACATGATTCCATATGTGTTATTTCATCGTTTTGATGTCTTCACTATTATTCCACAATGTAGAAAATAGTCTAAATAAAGAAAAACCCTTGAATGAGTAGGTGTGTCCAAACTTTTGACTGGTACTGTATATATTGTTTGTATGTAGGTGTTGGGCTTTATGGATTGTTTATTTGTATGTGTTAGGCTTTAGCTGAGATTATTCTTTACAGAGTTAAGTATATTTGTCCAGACCTCAATTGTTCCTTGACTAGCACCATTCATTCTCGCTGTCGATAATTCTAATATTATAACTTCTAATAGTAACTGTATCCATTGGCGAATTGGGAGAGAGTGAGGTGATTGCAATATAAGAGCCAACATCTTTTTTTTTGCGGCAGTGCTTGCCTGCCAGCAGTAATCATCTCTGATTCATTGAGAGATTCAAGGAGCTATCATTGTTAAGTATCATAATAGATGCTAAGCATTGAATATTTACATTCATGCACTTTGAAATTAATTTTGTAGCTTTGCCCTAGAAGCATTTAACTGCAGGGCCCTCCCACATCATATAAAGAAACATGCCTACCTGATTTAGGGGACACAGTGATAATTTGGGAGTTGGGGCCAATTTAATCTTAAAACGTTTCCTTGGTGTTAAATACAGTCTGTGAACAAACTTAATATGTATAAGTTGATGGTTCGAATTATGGGTTTCCAAGATCATATTTTTCCATATTCTGTTCCAGTTAAAAAGTTGTTCACATTCAATTTGATATGTGGACCATACTTTTTTAATGGCTAACTCAGAATATGCACTTTCCAAAAGTTGTTTATATATTATAGAGATCAGTCCTTTCGGGGGCCTAGATAATTTATTTATAAATCCCATCATTGGATGGGTTGGTAGTTGGTAGTTGGGCACAGCTGACCTAAGTTGGAAATAAAGAAAAAAAGGAGTTGCCTGGTAAAAAAGGAGTTGCCTGGTAATGTGTATGTATTTTTTAAATCTTGGAATGTTCTTAAACCATTACTGTCCATGATATCGGCAATGGTACAGAGTCCACATTTGGACCACTAGGGGGATACAAAAGACCACCCAATAAATCCTCCGTAGCTCAGCTGGTAGAGCACGGCGCTTGTAACGCCAAGGTAGTGGGTTCGATCCCCGGGACCACCCATACAAAAAAAATGTATGCACGCATGACTATAAGTTGCTTTGGATAAAAGTGTCTGCTAAATGGCATATTATTATTATTATAAAGACTTGCTAAAGTGCCAAAATTCAGCATTTTGATATGTCCCTCCGTCAACCCTGATTCACTTCTAGGAAGATTTTAACACTGTTTTGTGGTGGAAAACTGAGCGGGTCAAGCATAACACGTCAACCCTGTTACCCATAGATAGACAGGCTAGAAATGTTTTAACAATTAATTTCTGGGGGTGAAGCTTGCATTAAATTGCCACTCCTTGTTGCACACAAAAAGCTTCCATTCTCCCTGTCATGAGGGGATTTTATGGCCGATTTAAGAAGAAATCGTCAACCCTGTTATGGTCAACCCTGTTACTTTATTTGGCACTTAATATGTACTTACTATAGTCATACTTTTTTATTTAACCTCTTGAGATGGGAATACCTGTTTTTATGAAGTTGAACATGTGCTCTTTATGACAGAATGTTAACATTTGTTTTAAAATGTTTGTTTTTTACCAAGTTACACTTCTCAAAAGGCACCGAATTGTTGGACGACCCAGAACAAGTTACATTTGTCAAAAGGCACCGAATTGGTGGAACGGCCCAGAACTTTGATTTTAAGTGTATGTAATAATTAGTAAATATATACGTAAGGACACAGTGGACACATAATAGATATATTAACTTTGATAGCTATAGTATAAGTGTTTATTTTTTGCACGTTTTGACTTCTTGACTGTTGTTGTAACAGTGCTGCTGTGGGATCATTAATCAGCAGCGGAGAAATCCCCCTGTGTTAAATTTGTCATGGTGCTGCGCCAAACGTCCATGCTGGGCCATGCGCCCGATGGTACACTACCATACCAACCATACCAAGAAGACAGGGAATGGAAATATGGTCCAATTTACCATGGCAGCGCCAAATAGTTTGGTGGCATGGAATTCACAGCATTTCAAAGAGCGATCTGGTAGTGCTGTGTGTGCTAAAGACCCACTCTGCGAGATGTCTGTGGTGTGCATAGCCCCAGTCCCTGCAGATCAGCTGGGATCAACTGTAACACTATGGTGTTAACTTATGTGTTTGTATAAGGCTGTACCCTGTCTGGGGTGACTGAGGGGTCTGTATGTGGGAATGGCCCTGCAGTAATGGACAGGGTATGATTACTCCTGCATTCCTCACTCCTTATTAGTTTGCATGCACTCGTGCACTCTTCTAAACAAATAAAAACGAAAACAAATTGCATGAAATTATGCTGACCTGGTCAAATGGAAAATGCATGGTACATAACCCTACAGGTCATAAATGTTTAGGCTTATATGGCAACAGACTGTGCGATCATGGAAAATATGTATGTTGTTGCTGTGGAAATCCAAACAAATCAACCAGCCCACACACACACATACAGACACATACATTACCATTTCCTCAGCAATATCATGAAAGTATCTCTCTAAAAATGCATGACAGAATAAAGTATGCTTAGGATTATGAAAATGGATCCATGGCAAACATAGATTAGTTCATGTGCCACCTGTTGGTTAAATAGAGAAATGGCATAAGAATCACTGTGGTCGATGCCATTGTTCTACATACATGGTCTGATTGCATTGACACACTGATGCAGGTTTTGGTGTAATTCCTCTAGTTCACAAAAGATAGGATATAGATTATTATTATTATTGAAACATATTATTATGATAACTTTGTCCAGACATATAGGCCTACGACCTGTACCACCACCATTCAATATCCTAATGTATTTTCAAATAGATCTCCCTAGACTATAAAACATGAAGTTCAAGACCTGTAACAATGTAGCCTACAAGTATGGATGTTACATAGAATATCCACGCTGTTTGAGGGCGCTTTCTATATATACAGAGACCATTCCAGCTTTCCTCCATGCTAAGAGGGAGAGCGGCGTGTGGTTAGTTGTCTGACCGAGTTCCATTGAGAACAAGGATCACATCACAGGGGGCGAATGAAGAGGGGCGTAAATAAAAACAAACATAATTCAACCACAATATCCCGGTCTTTAGGTTTGAGTTCATGGGTTTGAGACGATTAAACTAGGAGTTGGTTCTTTTGCTGTTGTTGAAGGTGTTTAAATGTGTAGGGAAACTGTCGGCGAAGGATTTAATCTGAGATTGCGGTTGGTTTGAAACAAAGGGGTCGGGGGTTCCGGAGTGTTGCAGTGTTCAGTGGTAAAAGCAGGTTGAAAGGTAACGTTTAAGTAGATCCTAGCCTACAATCCAGCATGTAACTAGTTTTGCACGTTGTAGGCTAACCATTCCAACAGTTTCCGTTGTACAGTCATGTTGCGTTGAACAATTCTCAGAAATATCCGATTGGTTGTTCATAACTTTCTAGCGGTTAGGTGAATTGCCACGCGTGGTAAATTAAAGTAACAATTTATGTGAACGAGGCCGACAATTCACATGTATCTGAACATTAGCATACCTTTTGCAATACCGATGGCGATTGTGAGTGAGGTGCTTGGTTTTTAGATTGGCTACATATTAATTGAATTACCCAAGTGTAATGAAAACTGCAATCCGCAATAGCACCTGGTTGTCCAACATACTACTATGACAGTTTGAGTGCATTATTTTGCTGCAACATCCAAATGATCTGGGTACCACTGAAATAACGCATTAATTAATACAACAATTCAAGTTAAACTTGTCAGTTTCCCTAAATGTGCCTTGATGAATGAGATGATACCAGTGATGTAGATTAGTTGGGACAGGGATCTAATCAGTATTTGGGCCACTGCTTGATGTTTTCCTCAGGGTGGACCGTGGGACACGACTCACTACTGGCAAGATGGAACGCGAGGGGCAGTGGTGGAAGAGCCAGCTCGCTGCAGATATCCACACGTCTCTACGAATAAAGGTGAATGTCTCATTTTTATGCTCTGATGGTTCTTGAAATCTTTTTCATCCGCAGTTAGTTGAATTACACAAATACCGTAACAACAAAACAAATTCCAGTAGTGAGCTCATCTATTCCTTGCTGTTTTCGATGCTAAAGTGTGAACTGTCACATGTCCCCCTGTAACGATTGAGTTGGTTATCCCTGTCTGGTCATCAGAACCTCTACCACAGCCTGGGACACATCTTATGTTAATGGTCAGATAGATGCACTTATATGACTCGTGTTATTCTATTTTGTAGACCAGGATTTCCACCATCTATCAGGGATTGACACTTAATCTGTGAACAATAATAAACCCCAAAAACGTCTTGAAATAGAGATGTATTGATGGGTCATCATAATTGGTAATTAGTCAAATTGACAATGCGTATTGTGAGCAAATGCTGCGCATATGAGCTGATGCCTCCAGCTAAACTAAGAGGAGATCTGTGTGGTGGGCGGATGGGTGGAGGAGGTTTGTTCAGGGCAAACGCTGGGTTGTTGTTTGTCTGTGTTGACTGGATTAGGGAGGACCTGACTACTCCACTCTGCTGCTTTTCAACTGTAACACCAGTGTGTTACACTTAAGCAATAAGGCCCGAGGGGGTGTGGTATATGGCCAATATACCATCGCTAAGGGCTGTTCTTAAGCCGTGGTTTATTGGCCATGTACCACAAACCCCCGAGGTGCCTTATTGCTATTATAAACTGGTTACCAACGTATTTAGAGGAGTAAAAATAAATGTTTTGTCATACCCATGGTATACACTCTGATGTTATACTAGGGAAATTGTGTTTCAATAGCTAAGGCTGATAGTGAGGACTTGTGAAGAGCAGAATCAACAACCTCTGCATAATCAAAACAGTTGCTTTGTGAGAAGGTGTTAAAGTTCACAGTTAGCCATTGTTATGTAAATGCTGCTGAAAAGTACCAGTGGCCTTGCCTTGGCACCAACTTAGAGCAGTTCCGCCAGAGCCATGGGCCCAGTGAGACACGGGTGCCGGACCGCGTAGATGGAAACAGAAAAGTCTAAGCCTTTTAAGTAAAACACCAGGGTAAATCCTCAGTGGAAATGCGCCAACATGGCTCGCTCTGGCTGTTTGTGGTTGTTTATGCCCCGGCTGTATGTCATGCCCACTTCCTGTAGGAACTGCTAAGTGGAAGCTCTTTGGCTGGACGTGGAGCGTTTGCGTTTATCCTGATTTCAGGACTACTCTCTTGCCAAAGACTCAACATTATTATACTGAACAAAAATATAAACGCAACATGTAAAGTGTTGGTCCCATGTTTCATGAGCTGAAATAAAAGATCCCAGAAATGTTTAATACGCACAAAAAGCTTATTTCTCTCAAAGTTTGTGCACAAATTTGTTTACATCCCGGTTAGTGAGCATTTCTCCTTTGTCAAAATAATCCATCCATCTGACAGGTGTGGCATATCAAGAAGCTGATCAAACAGCAGGATCATTACACAAGTGCACCTTGTGCTGGGGACAATAAAAGGCCACTCTAAAATGTGCAGTTTTGACACACAACTCAATGCCACAGATGTCTCAAGTTTTGAAGGAGCGTGCAATTGGCATGCTGACTGCAGGAATGTCCACCAGAGCTGTTGCCAGAAAATTGAATGTTCATTTCTCTACCAAAGTCGTTTTAGAGAATTTGGCAGTATGTCCAACTGGCCTCACAACCGCAGACCACGTGTAACCACGCCAGCCCATGACCTCGACATCCGGCTTCTTCACCTGTGGGATCGTCTGAGACCAGCCACCCTGACAGCTGATGAAACTGAGGAGTATTTCTGTCTGTAATAAAGCCCTTTTGTGGGGAAAAACTCAGTTTGATTGGCTGGGCCTGGCTCCCCAGTGGCTGGTCCTGGCTCCCAAGTGGGTGGGCCTATGCCCAGTCATGTGAAATCCATAGATTAGGGCCTAATTAATTTATTTTCGATTGACTAATTTCCTTATATGAAGTGTAACTCAGTAAAATCATTGAAATTGTTGCATGTTGTTTTTATGTTTTTGTTCAGTATAGATATGAAGTCCCTCTCGTCCTGCCTGTTACCCAATAGCTAACCTTAAACACACTGATCTAAAACAGCGACAGATAATGGGGCTGAAGTGATGTATGACTTTATGCTGACATTCCTTGTTCATCGTGAAGGAATGCAGTCTCCAGAGCTTTGATGTTGACACTTTCTTACACTGCCCAAGTTTGAAATAATTTACACTCTGGCAACTACTTGCCAGATCAGATTTTATCACCAGGTATTCAGAAATAGAATGTGACAGGCATAACCTCACATACAGTATTTGCTTAATGGAATAAATACTTCAGCAAATGGATGCATCAGAGCTAAACCAGGTGCTTTTCACAAGGACAGTGTAAAGTGACGAATTACAGCTACTCTCGTTACTGTAATTACAGTAGTTTTTCAGAGTACTTGTAATTTTGAAAGTCAGTAATTTTACTTCTACTTGAGTAAAATTGTATGTAAGTAACAGTATTTCTACTTGAGTATGAAAAAAACAAAAACATGTATGCACTCAATAACTGTAAGTCGCTCTGGATAAGAGCGTCTGCTAAATGACTAAAATGTAAATGTAATATCTCAGTACTCTTTCCACCCCTAATTTGAATTGCTTTGAATGTTTAAACCCTGTGAAACTGCAGCAACCTTGTACTTGTTCATATTAATTATATTTTATAACTACACGTACAAAGAGAACTGCGATTGAACAATAGAACTAACAGGTCTGAGCTTGCTTTACGCAGGCTTGCATCGGAAGCCTTTGCATCTGTAATTAAAAAGTAACTCACACAATATGGTGTTGATTGATTAATTCCAGTCAACTAGTCCAGTCTAGTTTGGGATTGAAAAGGCCTAGGTAGCCTAGCCACCCGAAGTTTGAATATAAACCAAGTTTCATCACATTCACATTTTCTATTAGCACAAATAAATGGGCCTATTTTAGGCTATAATTACAGTACATAGCTTAGGCTATAAATACACGATGTTACCGCTTCGTTTCCCCTGGCCAGAGGGGATCAGAGCGCATAGGCTTCCCTAGGCTACCTGCAGCTGTGGTTTGTATCAGTAATCTACAGTTGATCAGACTGAAGTAGAGGTTAATTGTGCACGAGTTGACAAATCATGAGGAAAATTCATAAAATTGAATGTGCACAATGCAGAATATGGTCTTATTGCGTATGACCACTAGTTAGCAATGAAGTTCTATCTACCGCAGTCATTGGCTGAATCTCAAACTGAACATTTGTCCCTTTGTCGAGTGGCCACTTGCTGTTGTATTCAATAGTGATCACTCGAGTCTGCAAGTGTTTTGGCCAAAATGAGCATTGAGATGATGCGCACTCGACGTCCCAACTGACACTTACCAATTTTCTACAATTCTAAATCGATTTGTGAACGTTGTCACCCACGACCTGTCACTCACTATGAAACACGGGCACTGGGGCAGACACAGACACTAGAGTCTGATAGACAGTGAGAAAGTAAAAACAAAACATCTCTCTACTGCTGTACCAGGATCTCAGCGATCACTGCCTTATTGCCTGCGTCCGTAACGGGTCCGCGGTCAAACGACCACCCCTCATCACTGTCAAACGCTCCCAAAAACACTTCAGCGAGCAGGCCTTCCTAATTGACCTGGCCCAGGTATCCTGGATGGATATAGATCTCATTCCGTCAGTAGAGGATGCCTGGTTGTTCTTTAAAAGTAATTTCCTCTCAATCTTAAATAGACATGCCCCATTCAAAAAATATAGAACTAAGAACAGATATAGCCCCTGGTTCTCCTCAGACTTGACTGCCCTTGACCAGCACAAAAACATCCTGTGGCGTACTGCATTAGCATCAAATAGCCCCCGCGATATGCAACTTTTCAGGGAAGTTAGGAACCAATATACACAAGCAGTTAGGAAAGCAAAGGCTAACTTTTTCAAACAGAAATTTGCATCCTGTAGCACTAACTCCAAAAAGTTTTGGGACACTGTAAAGTCCATGGAAAATAAGAGCACTTCCTCCCAGCTGCCCACTGCACTGAGGCTAGGAAACACTATCACCACCGATAAATCTACAATAATCGAGAATTTCAACAAGCATTTTGCTACGGCTGGCCATGCTTTCCACCTGGCTACCACTACCCCGGCCACCAGCTCTGCACCCTCCGCTGCAACTTGCCCATGCCCCCCCCCCGCTTCTCCTTCACACAAATCCAGACAGCTGATGTTCTAAAAGAGCTGCAAAATCTGGACCCCTACAAATCATCTGGGCTAGACAATCTGGACACTTTCTTTCTAAAACTAGCCGCCGAAATTGTCGCAACCCCTATTACTAGCCTGTTCAACCTCTCTTTCGTAACGTCTGAGATCCCCAGAGATTGGAAAGCTGCCGCGGTCATCCCCCTCTTCAAAGGGGGTGACACTCTAGATCCAAACTGTTACAGACCCATATCCATCCTGCCCTGCCTTTCAAAAGTTTTTGAAAGCCAAGTCAACAAACAGATCACCGACCATTTCGAATCCCACCGTACCTTCTCCGCTATGCAATCCGGTTTCCGAGCTGGTCATGGGTGCACTTCAGCCATGCTCAAGGTCCTAAACGATATTATAACCGCGATCGATAATAGACAGTACTGTGCAGCCGTTTTCATTGACCTGGCCAAGGCTTTCGACTCTGTCAACCACCGCATTCTTATTGGCAGACTAAATAGCCTTGGTTTCTCAAATGACTGCCTCGCCTGGTTCACCAACTACTTCTCAGATAGAGTTCAATGTGTCAAATCGGAGGGCCTGTTGTCTGGACCTATGGCAGTCTCTATGGGGGTGCCACAGGGTTCAATTCTTAGGCCGACTCTTTTCTCTGTGTATATCAATGACGTCGCTCTTGCTGCTGGTGACTCTCAGATCCACCTCTACGCAAACGACACCATTTTGTATACATCTGGCCCTTCATTGGACACTGTGTTAACAAACCTCAAAACGAGCTTCAATTCCATACAACACTCCTTCAGTAGCCTCCAACTGCTCTTAAACACTAGTAAAACTAAATGCATGCTCTTCAACCGAACGCTGCTTGCACCCGCCCACCCGACTAGAATCACTACTCTCGACGGGTCTGACCTAGAGTATGTGGACAACTACAAATATCTAGGTGTCTGGTTAGACTGTAAACTCTCCTTCCAGACTCACATTAAGAATCTCCAATCCAAAGTTAAATCTAGAATCGGTTTCCTATTTCGCAACAAAGCCTCCTTCACTCATGCTGCCAAACATGCCCTCGTAAAACTGACTATCCTACCGATCCTTGACTTCGGCGATGTCATTTACAAAATAGCCTCCAACACTCTACTCAGCAAATTGGATGTAGTCTATCACAGTGCCATCCGTTTTGTCTCCAAAGCCCCATATAATACCCACCACTGTGACCTGTACGCTCTTGTTAGCTGGTCCTCACTACATATTCGTCGCCAAACCCACTGGCTCCAGGTCATCTATAAATCACTGCTAGGCAAATCCCCGCCTTATCTTAGCTCATTGGTCACCATAGCAACACCCACCCGTAGTCTGCGCTCCAGCGGGTATATCTCATTGGTCATCCCCAAAGCCAACACCTCCTTTGGCCGCAATTCCTTCCAGTTCTCTGCTGCCAATGACTGGAACAAATTGCAAAAATCTCTGAAGCTGGAGACACTTATCTCCCTCACTAACTTTAAGCATCAGTTGTCAGAGCACCTTACCGATCACTGCACCTGTACACAGCCCATCTGAAATTAGCCCGCCCAACTACCTCATCCCTATATTGTTATTTATTTTGCTCATTTGTACCCCAGTATCTCTATTTGCACATCATCTCTTGCACATCTATCATTCCAGTGTTAATACTAATTGTAATTATTTTGCACTATAGCCTATTTTATTGCCTTACCTCCATAACTTGCTAAATTTGCACACACTGTATATTATATGTATTTCTGTTGTATTTTTGACTTTGTTTTGTTTTACCCCATATGTAACTCTGTGTTGTTGTTTGTATCGCACTGCTTTGCTTTATCTTGGCCAGGTCGCAGTTGTAAATGAGAACTTGTTCTCAACTGGTTTACCTGGTTAAATAAAGGTGAAATAAAAAAAATAAAAATAAAATATCAGTTGCCAGTGATTTCATCAGCTGCCTGCTGCTAGCTCGCTTCACTGACAAACACAGGGATCAAATTTTAGCTAGCTATCTGATGTTGCGGCAGGTAGCTTAGTGGGTAAGAGCGTTGTGCCAGTAACCGAAAGGTCGCTGGTTCTAATCCCCGAGCCGACTAGGTGAAAAATCTGTCGATGTGCCCTTGAGCAAGGCACTTAACCCTAATTGCTCATGTAAGTCGCTCTGGATAAGAGCGTCTGCTAAATGACTAAAATTAAATTAAGTTAAATTAATTAATTAAATTAAATTATGTTGGCCACTGCACTGATAAACAGCGTGTAGCTTCAGCTTGTAACTTATTTACAATAGTTTGACAACTTGCTGATGAAGTTGTAGACATGTTCCCAGCTGTCAGTCCATACTTCAGCATGTTTCCAAAGCACCAATCGCTACGTCATAACGTTGGTCGGCTAAAAGAACAGCACAGCAGCAGACTCGATATGGGCAGAGCATTTTTCCAACTTAATTACATTTTAGTAGATGCTCTTATCCAGAGCGACTTACAGTTAGTGAATACATATATATATATTTTCAAACTGGTCCCCCGTGGGAATCGAACCCACAACCCTGGCGTTGCAAACGCCATGCTCTATCAACTGAGCTACATCCCTGCGGGCCATTCCCTCCCCTACCCTGGACAACGCTAGGCCAATTGTGCGCCGCCCATGAGTCTCCCGGTCGCGGCCGGCGGCGACAGAGCCTGGATTCGAACCAGGATCTCTAGTGGCACAGCTAGCACTGCGATGCAGTGCCTTAGACCACTGCGCCACTCAGGAGACTACTTAATGACGATGACGTGCAGATTGCGTATATCCGTGGCAAATCATTTTAAAGATGCATATCTCCTACTAACGTAACAGCATTTTTACGTTAAGTATTTGTCACATTTTTATGTTTCCATTTATTATGATGTTCGGGACCTGTTGGTGGTAGTTTTGTGATAACTGCAATGTGATTTACATTTTGTGGAAGAAAAAACAACAACAGTTTTTCGGTTAGGGATTTTTTCTTAACGTTAATGTCCCAATTTCGTTAAAACGTTCACACCCCTAGTCTAAACAATAGTACTTTGTCCCTCTTTTCTATTTTTTATTAAACCAAATCAAAAGTGCTGGGGCAAAAGCCAGTTCGCCACATGTTTGACGGCGGCCCTGTTATGCTGATCTCTGCAACGTGGATAGATTTAAATCGCCACACAATGCTACAAATTAAGAAACATATCCTATATGTATGATCTTTTGAGACAGTATCTTGACATTTTAGATAGTACAACATTTTAAACAAATGTTTGTTGGTGGGAATGGGTAGGATATTTCAATACTCGTTCTACCCCTGCTCAAAGGCATGGTGTTTTATGAGAGCTTAATGCCTCTCCAGGGTGGTTGTATGAAAAAGGGCACAAACCATTCTTTCCCACTGACTGTTGCTATGGAAGCCTTTACCTGTGTCCTCAGTGCTCACCAACTGATGTTCAATGTATTAATAGCACTTCTCTGCAAGAAGAGTAGCAGTTTTTTTTCTGCTGGGTTGTACACTACATGACCAAAAGTATGTGGACACCTGCTCGTCGAACATCTCATTCCAAAATCATGGGCATTAATATGGAGTTGGTCCCCCCCTTTGCTGCTATAACAGCCTCCACTCTTCTGGGAAGGCTTTCCACTAGATGTTCGAACATTGCTACAGGGACTTGCATTCAGCCACAAGAGCATTAGTGAGTTCGGGCACTGATGTTGGGCGATTCCTCCTCCCCCAGCTTTACAGTTGCGTACTATGCATTCGGCAGGTAGCGTTCTCCTGGCATCCGCCAAACCAAGACTCGTCCGTCGGACGGCCAGATAGTGAAGTGTGATTCATCACTCCAGAGTCCAATGGTGGCGAGCTTTACACCACTCCAGCCAATGCTTGTCATTGCGCATGGTGATTTTAGGCTTGTGTGCGGCTGCTCGGCCATGGAAACCCATTTCATGAAGCTCCCGACTAACAGTTCTTGTGCTGACGTTGCTTCCAGAGGCAGTTTGGAACTTGGTAGTGAGTGTTGCAAACGAGAACAGACTCGGCGGTCCCATTCTGTGAGCTTGTGTGGCCTACCACTTCGCAGATGAGCCGTTACTGCTCCTAGATGTTTCCACTTCACAATAACAGCACTTACAGTTGACCGGGGCAGCTCTAGCAGGGCAGAAATCTGACGAACTGACTTGTTGGAAAGGTGGCATCCTATGACAGTGCCACGTTGAAAGTCACTGAGCTCTTCAGTAAGGCCATTCTACTACCAGTGTTTGTCTATGGAGATTGCATGGCTGTGTGCTCATTTTTTATACACCTGTCAGCAACGGGTGTGGCTGAAATAGGGTCCACTGTAGCTCAGTTGGTAGAGCATGGTGTTTGCAACGCCAGGGTTGTGGGTAAGAGCGTCTGCTAAATGACTAAAATTTAAAATGTAAATGTGAATAGCCAAATCCACTCATTTGAAGGGGTGTCCACATACTTTTGTATATATAGTAGAGATTGATGCTTCTTTTGTTGCCACTCTACTTATTGCATTTTCACAATAATGCAGTTCACAAGACTGAAAGTGGAACAATTGAAAGTGGAACAATAATGTTAGTGATTTTGAATTTCCAATTCATTCATAAATTCCATTCCACAATTCAACAATAATTTTGTGTAAGTATGATGATGTTATCAAACCCATCAGAATCTTTCATAATCGTATCACCCACTACCCTAGAGAAATTCCTCCTGGAGAAAATTTAATACTGAGAATCATGCACAGGAGAATGTTGACCCAATTGGAACTGCTTGTTGCATAAGATCATGCCTTTGGCTGATCAGGAAGTAGCTGTAGAGTTCCCTAAATTACAGCCGTGCTCCACAAAGGGCCCTGTTCAGATGGTCAGGCCCCAGCCCCTCACCCCCAGGGGGACATATGGCTGTGAGACATGCAGCCTGGTTGGGCCTGAATAACCATGGGTGACTCCCTGGTTCTCACAGCTGTAAGGCAGACTCCCTGGTTCTCACAGCTATAAGGCAGACTCCCTGGTTCTCACAGCTATAAGGCAGACTCTTTGGTTCTCACAGCTATAAGGCGGACTCAATTGTTCTCACAGCAATAAGGCAGACTCCCTGAATATGAGATATATATATAGATCTGAGATACAGTATGAATACTTGGATTTGGATCTTCTGTGTCTTTCTTTGCCTAGCAACAGAGTGACCCTGCCAGACACAAAATTAAATAGAGATAATAGGGCGGCAGGTAGCCTAGCGGTTAGAGCCATTTATAATGGCAGACCCTGACCCTGACCCCTCTCTCCGAGGGTGTCTCAGGGAGAGTTGGGATATGCAAAAAATACATTCCCAAAATAGGACAAATATAAGCACCCACCAATTTATTTATTAGTATTTTATTTATGTCTATGCTGGCATATATAAAGTGCATTTTCAGCATTCGAAAAGTATTCAGACCCCTTGACTTTTCCGCATTTTGTTATGTTACAGCCTTATTCTAAAATGGATAAAATAGTTTTTTCCCCTTATCAATTTACACACAATACCCCATAATGACAAAGACAAATGTATTACAAATAAAAAACCGAAAATATCACATTTACATAAGTCAGACAGTTTACTCAGTGCTTTGTTGAAGCACCTTTGGCAGCGATTACAGCCTCGAGTCTTCTTGGGTATGACGCTACAAGCTTGGCACACATGTATTTGGGGAGTTTCTCCCAGATTCTCTTCTCTGCAGATCCTCTCAAGCTCTGTCAGGTTGGATGGGGAGCGTTGCTGCACAGCTATTTTCAGGTCTCTCCAGAGATGTTTGATCGGGTTCAAGTCCGGGCTCTGGCTGTGCCACTCAAGGACACTCAGAGACTTGTCCCGAAGCCACTCCTGCATTGTCTTGGCTGTGTGCTTAGGGTCATTGTCCTGTTGGAAGATGAACCTTCACCCCAGTCTGAGGTCCTGAGCGCTCTGGAGCAGGTTTTCATCAAGGATCTCTCTGTACTTGCTCCCTTCATCTTTCCCTCAATCCTGACTAGTCTCCCAGTCCCTGCCGCTGAAAAACATCCCCACAGCGTGATGCTGCCACCACCATGCTTCACCGTAGGGATGGTGCCAGGTTTCCTCCAGACGTGACGCTTGGCATTCAGGCCAAAGAGTTCAATCTTGGTTTCATCAGACCAGAGAATCTTGTTTCTCATGGTCTGAGAGTCTTTAGGTGCCTTTTGGCATACTCCAAGCGGGCTGTCATGTGCCTTTTACTAAGGAGTGGCTTCGGTTTGGCCACTCTACCATAAAGGCCTGGTTGGTGGAGTGCTGCAGAGATGGTTGTCCTTCTGGAAGCTTCTCTCATCTCCACAGAGGGACTCTGGAGCTCTGTCAGAGTGACCATCGGGTTCTTGGTCACCTCCCTGACCAAGGCCCTTCTCTCCCGATTGCTCTAGGAAGAGTCTCGGTGGTTCCAAACTTCTTCCATATAAGAATGATGGAGGCCACTGTGTTCTTGGGGACCTTCAATGCTGCAGAAATGTTCCCCAGATCTGTGCCTCGACACAATCCTGTCTGGGAGCTCTACGGACAATTCCTTCGACCTCATGGCATGGTTTTTGCTCTGACATGCACTGTCAACTGTGGGACCTTATATAGACAGGTGTGTGCCTTTTCAAAATCATGTCCAATGAATTGAATTTACCTCAGGTGAACTCCAATGAAGTTGTAGAAATATCTCAAGGATGATCAATGGAAACAGGATGCACCTGAGCTCAATTTCGAGTCTCATAGCAAAGGGTCTGAATATTTTAAGTAAGTAACCTGTTTTTGCTTTGTCATTATGGTGTATTATTGTGTGTAGATTGAGGATTATTAGTATTTTATTTTTTCTTAGAATAAGGCTGTAGCGTAACAAAATGTGGAAAAAGTCAAGGGGTCTGAATACTTTCCAAATGCACTGTATTTATTCTCCATGCTGCAAGATCTGGAATAGGATAGGTTGTTCACTTGGCTGTCTGTGGGATGCTAATTAATACATTATTCAGAAAATATTTAATCAAGGGTAGTGTGTTACTTTAATGTTTTTCACTTCTCCTGTTTAATTTCCCTCCAACATTAACGTTAACAATGTACGTGAAGAAGAGGCTTTTATAGTTGGCAACTGGTCTGGAGGAAAAACAAGTTGCATAGTTACAAAGAAAATCAATCTCTACTATATATACACAAGTATGTGGACACCCCTTCAAATGAGTGGATTTGGCTATTTCAGCCACACCCGTTGCTGACAGATGTATTAAATCGAGTACACAGCCATGCAATCTCTATAGACAAACATTGGCAGTAGAATGGCCTTACTGAAGAGCTCAGTGACTTTCAACGTGGCACTGTCATAGGATGCCACTTTTCCAACAAGTCAGTTCGTCAAATTTCTGCCCTGTTAGAGCCGCGAAGTGGTAGGCCACACAAGCTCACAGAATGGACTGCCGAGTGCTGAAGTGCGTAACGGTGTGGAAGAACTTGACTTGCCTGCACAGAGCTCTGACCTCAACCCCATTGAACACCTTTGGGATGAATTGGAACGCTGACTGGGAGCCAGGCCTAATCGCCCAACATCAGTTCCCGACCTCACTAATGCTCTTGTGGCTGAATGAAAGCAAGTCCCCGCAGCAATGTTCCAACATCTAGTGGAAATCCTTCCCAGAAGAGTGGAGGCTGTTAAAACAGCAAAGGGGTAACCAACTCCATATTAATGCCCATGATTTTGGAATGAGATGTTCGACGAGCAGGTGTCCACATACTTTTGGTAATGAAGTGAATTTCACAGAGTTTATTGAGCAATATTTTAGGCCCATGGTCAAGAATGGGCTGCAGTTTCTTGGCTGTGATTGACATTTGAAAGTGGAGTCTTTGCTCATGCTCTCACATGCCTCTTGACACAGTGCTGTGTTTTTTCTGTATACGCAATTCAACTCTGCGGTCTGCAATATCCTTACTCCCTTTCATCCTGTCTCCTCTCCTTGCCTCCTTTCCTCAGGAGCTGAAGTTGCCCACCTACAAGTCCCACTCTCCTCAGATCGGGATGCGGCGTTACTTTGCTGACCTGCTGGCTGTCCTCAGTAACCGCTACCAACTGTGCCCAGCGGCTCGCCACCTGGCCGTCTACCTCCTGGACTTGTTCATGGACCACTACGACGTGGCAGTCCGCCAGCTCTACGTCATTGCCCTCTCCTGCCTCCTCCTAGCCAGTAAGTCACCTACTGAACCGCTAACAGTAAATCTGGTAAAGATGGAACAGTAGTAGGAGTATCTCTAGAACGCTTCATATTATAGTGACAAGTTTCAGATACTTCAGTTATAATGTCCTTCCTTTTGAGTAGATTCTGGTTGTTTATCCCGCTCTTTTACAGAAAGCTACATGTAAATGTTTTCCACTACATGTGCATATACAGTACCAGTCAAAAGTTTGGACACACCTACTCATTCAAGGGTTTTTCTTTATTTCTACTATTTTCTACATTGTAGAATAATAGTGAAGATATCAAAACTATGAAATAACACATATGGAATCATGTAGTAACCAAAACAGTGTTAAACAAATCAAAATATTGTATTGACTGACCTTCATGTCTTAAAGTAATGATGAACTGTCGTTTCTCTTTGCTTATTTGAGCTGTTCTTGCCATAATATGGACTTGGTCTTTTACCAAATAGGGCTACCTTCTGTATACTCTCTCTTCTACAATGTAAAAAATAGTACAAATAAAGAAAAACCCTTGAATGAGTAGGTCTGTCCAAACTTTGGACTGGTGTATGTTTTTAAAAATCATATTTGATGTGAAAAGGAAAGCAGGAAGAGTGAGCAGCGCTGCAGCCTGTAGTTGTGTGGTTTGTCGAAAAATGTTTGGTGACAGCTGTGTGTATGAGGCAATGCCCTCCCCCCCGCTAGCCCCCAGACCTCTGTCAGTCACCAAGGGAACTTATCACATGTACAAACCATAAGGCCTGCCTTACCCACATCCCTTGCCTGCATAGTAATTAAAGCTGTTGGAGAGAATAATAAAATAAAATAAAATGCGCCGAATACAACAGGTGTAGACCTTACCGTAAAATGCTTACATACAAGCCCTTAACCAACAATGCAGTTTTAAGAAAATGGAGTTAAGAAAATATTTACTAAATAACTAAAGTAAAAAATAAAATAAGTAACACAATTAAATAACAATAATGAGGCTATATACAGGGGGTACCGGTACCGAGTCAATGTGCTGGGGTACAGGTTAGTCGAGGTAATTTGTACATGTATGTAGGGGTAAAGTGACTATAGATAATAAACAGCGAGTAGCAGCAGTGTAAAAACAAACGGGGGGGGGGGGGGGGGGGGGGGGTCAATGCAAATAGTCCAGGTGGCCATTTTATTAATTGTTCCGCAGTCTTATGGCTTGGGGGTAGAAGCTGTTAAGGAGCCTTTTGGACCTAGACTTTGGACCTAGACTTTTGGGTCTATGACTTGGGTGACTGGAGTCTTTGACAATTTTTTGGGCCTTCCACTGACACTGCCTAATATATAGGTCCTGGATGGCAGGAAGCTTGGCCCCAGTGATGTACTTATGGTCGGATGCCGAGCAGTTGCCATACCAGGCGGTGATGCAACCGGTCAGGATGCTCTCGATGGTGCAGCTTTAGAACTCTTTGAGGATCTGGGGACCCATGCCAAATCTTTTCAGTCTGCTGAGGGGGAAAAGGTGTTGTCGTGCCCTCTTCACGACTGATTTGGTGTGTTTGAACCATGGTAGATTGTTGGTGATGTGAACTTAAAACTCTCGACTCGCTCCACTACAGACCTGTCGATGTGAATGGGGGCGTGTTTGGCCCTCCTTTTCCTGTAGTCCACGATAATCTATTTTGCCTTGCTCACGTTGAAGGAGAGGTTGTTGTCCTGGCACCACACTGCCAGGTCTCTGACCTCTTCCCTATAGGCTGTCTCATCGTTGTCGGTGATCAGGCCTACTACCGTTGTGTCGTCAGCAAACTTAATGATGGTGTTGGAGTCGTGCTTTGGCCACGCAGTCGTAGGTGAACAGGGAGTACAGGATGGGACTAAGCACGCATCCCTGAGGGGCCCCCGTGCTGAGGGTACCACACAGCGTTGAGATCGCCTGCAATGACAACAAGCTCAGTCCGATGATGCTGTGACACACCACCCCCAGACCAGGACGGACCCTCCACCTCCAAATTGATCCCGCTCCAGGAGTTTTATGGAAATCAAAAATCCTAAAAGGCTTTTTTTTATAAAACCCAATTCAAACTTCGTTCAATCCTTATTTTTATTGTTCCCCTTCAAAAAAAAAACTGAAATTCCATACAAGCATTCGAAATGGACGCTAAAAAAGGACTTCTTCTTAAACCCTTTAACAATGGGGCCCAAAACGTCCAGGGGAAATATCCAAACTGTTCAACAAAAAAGTGACCCACTCAGTCTTAAAGCCTTCCCCTTTCTCTAGCTAACCTACTGAACGCAAAAGAATTTTAAAAAAGTATAGATACCAAACCCCCAAAAAAGGGAAACAAAAACCCAAAAAAAAAAAAAAAAAAAAAAAAAATTTTAAAAAAACAAAACAAAAAAAAACCAAAGAAAAAAAAAAAACAAATGAAAACAAAAAAAAAAAGGTTTTTTTTAAAAAAAAAAAATTTTTTAAAAAAAAAAAAAAAAACAAAACCCAAAAAACAAACAAAAACCCAAAAAAAAAACTCGTCAGTGAAGAGCACTTTTTGCCAGTCCTGTCCGGTCCAGCGACGGTGGGTTTGTGCCCATAGGCGACGTTGTTGCTGGTGATGTCTGGTGAGGATCTGCCTTACAACAGGCCTACAAGCCCTCAATCCAGCCTCTCTCAGCCTATTGCAGACAGTCTGAGCACTGATGGAGGGATTTTGCGTTCCTGGTGTAACTCGGGCAGTTGTTGTTGCCATCCTGTACCTGTCCCGCAGGTGTGATGTTCGGATGTACCGATCCTGTGCAGGTGTTTTTACACGTGGTCTGCCACGACGATCAGCTGTCCATCCTGTCTCCCTGTAGTGCTCTCTTAGGCGTCTCACAGTACGGACATTGCAATTTATTGCCCTGGCCACATCTGCAGTCCTCATGCCTCCTTGCAGCATGCCTAAGGCACGTTCACGCAGATGAGCAGGGACCCTGGGCATTTTTATTTTGGTGTTTTTCAGAGTCAGTAGAAAGGCCTCTTTAGTGTCCTAAGTTTTCATAACTGTGACCTTAATTGCCTACCGTCTGTAAGCTGTTAGTGTCTTAACGACCGTTCCACCGGTGCATGTTCATTAATTGTTTATGGTTCATTGAACAAGCATGGGAAACAGTGTTTAAACCCTTTACAATGAAGATCTGTGAAGTTATTTGGATTTTTACGAATTATCTTCGAAAGACAGTGATGAGGTGGTGGTCCTGAAAAAGGTATGTTTCTTTTTTTGCTGAGTTTATATATTTTATATATATTTTTCCACTTTGTTGATGGTGTGTTCACTTATCAGTGTTGGCTGCTAACTTGGCCCTTATCTTAAATAGTTCACTTCTGTGTTGGGAGGCATTGGATCTGTCATAACTTCCGCAGAGGCTGCCTCCCCTCCTTGTTCGGGCAGGTTTCGGCGTTCAGTGTCACTGGCTTACTAGCTACTGCCAATCCATTTATCATCACTCCATTTGTCTTGTCTTCAATCACACACACCTGGTCCTTATTCCCTCATTAGTCATTGTATAAGTGTTCCCTCTGCTTCCTTGTCTGTTTGGGTGATTTGTTTATTGTGGAGGTTATGGAAGCTTGGTGGAGATCGTGTATTTTGTATCGACGGGAATATTTACTGTGTGCCTTTTATTTTCCAGTGAGCCTGTTTTTGTGCCCTGGAGTGTGTTTGACGCATTTCTGCGTAAAACCTGTATTTTGCGGATTAAAGTCCGTTATTCTGTGATGTACCCTCCTGCGCCTGACTCCTTCAACACCACCTCATCACAGAATCACCCACCCGCTATGGAGTCAGCGGGAGAGATGCGCATGCCTGGAGTCATGGAACGGGTCCAGGAGCATTCAACTATGTCACCCAGCTTGGGTGAAGTGATGGATCGGGTTCTTCAGGTCGTCCAACGCCTGGAGAGGAGAGAGCCCGATCCGTCGAGACCAGCTGGCCAACCGGATCCCACCACCTACACCCCAGCACCCAGAGGGATCCAGATATACCGACCAAGGGAGTTCGACGGGACAGCGGCGCTGTGCCAAGGATTCCTTGCCCAACTGGAGCTCTACTTCTCCAGCATCCGGCCGGTCCCATCGGAGCGGGAGAAGGTGTCCGCCCTCGTCTCCTGCCTCTCGGGGAAAGCCCTGGAGTGGGCCAACGCGGTGTGGAACGAAGGAGGAGCCGCTTTGGAGAACTACGGGGAGTTCGCGAGCGGCTGGTCCATCTGAGGCAGGGGACGAGGACTGCGCAGGACTTCGCATTGGAGTTTCGAACTCTGGCAGCTGGGTCCGGGTGGAACGAGCGGGCCCTGATCGACCATTTCCGGTGCCATCTGCGAGAGGACGTCCGACGTGAGCTAGCCTGCCGTGACACCATGTTGTCCTTCTCGCAACTGGTGGACATGGCCATTCGTTTGGACAACCTGCTGGTATCCAGAGGACGTCCTGGAGGAGGTCCGTTTCCATCTCTGCCGACTCGGATCCAGAACCGATGGAGATGGGTGGAACCGCTTGCCGAGAGAGCGGAGGACGACAGCGCCAGGGCCACACTGATGGCGCGAAGGGACATTTCACCACACGTTTTCGTCAACACTCTTCTGGGTTTAGAGGCGGCAGGCAGGGCACTCTCGCATCACCCCAGGTATCGAACACCCACACTCGTTCAGAGCCCTCTGCTGCGCACTGTAAAATACACATCTCCTTTCCTGAGCACATGGTAGTTCCCCAGTGTAAGGCGCTAGTCGATTCAGGCGCAGCTGGGAACTTTATGGACAGGGCATTCGCACACCGTATAGGCATTCCATTGATTCCCCTATCCATTCCACGCACCATCAGAGCACTTGATAGTCAACCATTAGGGTCTGGGTTGGTTAAGGAAGTTACTGCACCAGTCACCATGATTACCCAGGAGACTCATTGTGAGCATTTTACTTTTTGAGTCTCCTGCTTTCCCTGTGGTATTAGGTATCCCTTGGCTAGCACTCCACAACCCCACCTTCTCATGGCCGCAGAGGGTTCTCACGAGGTGGTCGCGAGAGTGTCAGGGTAGGTGTCTAGGTGTTTCCGTTGGTGCAACCACGGTGGAAAGTCTAGACAGTACCTCCACCGTGCGCATTCCCTCTGAATACCTGAAGAAGGACGGAGGTCTGCGCCCGTGCATTGATTATCGACCACTGAACAGGGAGACGATAAGATGTAGTTATCCTCTCCCCCTCATTCATTCAGTGATTGAATCAATGCATGGGGCACGATTCTTCACCAAATTAGATCTCAGGAGTGTGTACAACCTGGTGCGTATCCGAGAAGGAGATGAGTGGAAGACAGCATTCAGCACAACAACGGGGCATTATGAATACCTGGTGATGCCCTATGGTTTGATGAATGCTCCCTCAGTTTTCCAGTCCTTTGTGAACGAGGTGTTTCGGGACATGCTTGGTCGCGGTGTAGTGGTCTACATCGATGACATCCTGGTGTATTCCGCTACACGCGCAAAGCATGTGTCCCTGGTTCGCAAGGTGCTGGCCCGACTGTTGGAAAATGACCTTTATGCTAAGGCAGAGAAGTGTATGCTTTCCCAGCAGTCCGTCTCCTTCCTTGGATACTGCATTTCCACCTCAGGTGTGGAGATGGAGGGAGATCGCATTTCAGCCGTGCGTAATTGGCCGACTCCAACCACGGTTAAGGAGGTGCAGTGCTTCCTTGGCTTTGCCAACTACTATCGGAGGTTTATCCGGGGCTTTGGCAAGGTCGCAGCTCCCATTACCTCCCTGTTGAAGGCTGATCTGGCCTTCAGCAAACTGCAGGGTCTGTTCACCTCAGCCCCAGTACTGGCCCACCCCGATTCATCACTACCGTTCGTAGTGGAGGTGGATGCGTCCGAGGTTGGGATAGGAGCTGTCCTGTCTCAATGCTCGGGTACGCCACCCAAGCTCCGCCCCTGTGCGTTCTTCTCGAAGAAGCTCAGCCCGGCGGAGCAGAACTACGCCGTTGGTGATCGGGAGCTGTTGGCTGTTGTCCGAGCCTTGACCGTGTGGAGGCATTGGCTCGAGGGGGCAAAACACCCTTTCCTCGTCTGGATGGACCACTGTAACCTGGAGTACATCCGGGCAGCGAGGAGGCTGAATCCTCGCCAGGCCAGGTGGGCCCTATTCTTCACCCGGTTTGACTTCACTCTATCATACATCCTGGGTACGAAGAACTTGAAGGCAGACGCACTGTCCCGGCTGTATGACACAGAGGAGAGGCCCAGCGACAACACTCCCATACTGCCGGCCTCCTGAATTGTGGCGCCGGTAGTATGGACGCGGATATAGAGCAGGCATTATGCACGGATCCCTCTCCACCTCAGTGTCCAGATGGGCTACAGTATGTGCCTGCTCTTATCCGTGATCGTCTGATCTACTGGGCACACACGTCACCCTCCTCTGGTCACCCAGGTATCGGCCGTACAGTGTGCTGCCTGACCAGAAAATACTGGTGGCCTACCTTGGCTGAGGACGTGAGGATGTATGTCTCCTCCTGCTCAGTGTGCGTCCAGAGTAAGGCACCTAGGCACCTCCCAGCTGGTAAGTTACAACCTTTACCAGTTCCACAACGACCATGGTCTCACCTAAGTGTTGCTTTTCTAACTGATCTTCCCCTCTCTCAAGGTAACACCACCATCCTGGTCGTTGCGGACCGCTTTTCTAAAGCCTGCCGCCTCCTTCCTCTGCCCGGTCTCCCCACGGCTCTGCAAACTGCGGAGGCCCTGTTTACACACGTCTTCCGGCACTATGGGGTACCAGAGGATATAGTGTCTGACCGAGGTCCCCAGGTCTGGTAGGCGTTCATGGAACGTCTGGGGGTCTCGGTCAGCCTGACCTCTGGGTTCCACCCCGAGAGTAATGGGCAGGTGGAACAAGTAAATCAGGACGTGGGTAGGTTCCTGCGTTCCTACTGCCAGGACCGGCCCGGGGGAGTGGTCGGTGTTCTTGCCATGGGCAGAATATGCCCAGAACTCTCTCCACCACTCCTCCACTAACCTAATGCCTTTCCAGTGTATTCTAGGTTACCAACCGGTTCTGGCACCGTGGCACCAGAGCAAGACCGAGGCTCCTGCGGTGGATGACTGGTTTCGGCGCACGGAGGAGACGTGGGATGCTGCCCACGTTCACCTCCAACACGCCGTGCGTCGTCAGAAGGCCAACGCTGACCACCACCGCAGTGAGGCCCCCGTCTTTGTACCGGGGGATCGGGTCTGGCTCTCGACCCGGAATCTGCCCCTCCGCCTACCCTGCCGGAAGCTGAGCCCGCAGTTTGTGGGGCCGTTCAAAGTCCTGAGGAGAGTCAACGAGGTCACTTATAGGTTATTACTTCCCCCTGATTACCGTATTAACCCCTCGTTTCATGTGTCTCTCCTCAGGCCGGTGGTAGCTGGTCCGCTCCAGGAGTCTGAGGTGCGGGAGGTCCCTCCACCTCCTCTGGACATCGAGGGGGCCCCGGCGTACTCTGTCCATTCCATCCTGGATTCGAGGCGTCGGGTGGGGGGCCTTCAGTACCTCGTGGAGTGGGAGGGGTATGGTCCGGAGGAACAGTGCTGGGTCCCGGTGAGGGATATCCTCGATCCCTCCATGTTATGGGATATCCACCATCGCCATCCGGCTCGCCGTGCTCCGCGTCCTCCGGCCGTCCCCGAAGCTGGGGTCGGCGCGCGGCAAGGGGGGTTACTGTCACGACTTCTGACGAGGCTGCCTCCCCTCCTTGTTCGGGCAGGTTTCGGCGTTCGGTGTCACCGGCTTACTAGCTAACTGCCAATCCATTTATCATCACTCCATTTGTCTTGTCTTCAATCACACACACCTGGTCCTTATTCCCTCATTAGTCATTGTATAAGTGTTCCCTCTGCTTCCTTGTCTGTGTGGGTGATTGTTTATTGTGGAGGTTAGTGAAGCTTGGTGGAGTTCGTGTATTTTGTATCAACGGGAGTATTTTCCCGTGTGCCTTGTATTTTCCAGTGCGCCTGTTTTTGTGCCATGGAGTGTGTTTGATGCTTTTATTTTTCATGTCAAAGATGATATAAAATAAAAATAGAAAACGTTTGTTTTATCTTTTACCAGATCTATTGTGTTATGTTCTCCTACATTAATTTCATATCTCCACAAACTTCAGTGTTTCCATTCAAATAGTACCAAGAATATGCATATCCTTACTTCAGGTCCTGAGCTACAGGCAGTTAGATTTGGGTATGTCATTTTAGGCGGAAATTGAAAAGAAGGTTCTGATCCTTAAGAGGTTAACTGCAGGGCACTCCCACATCATACAGTAAGAAGTAATATGCCTACCTGATTTAGGTGACACAGTGAACAGTTAGGAGTTGGGGCCAATTTAATCGTAAAACATTTCCTTGGTGTTAAATAAGTCTGTGAACAAACTTAAAATGTATACATTTATGGTTCAGATTACGGTATGCCAAGGTCATATTTTTCCATATTCTGTTCCAGTTAAAGGGTTGTTCAGATTCAATTAGATCTCTGGACCATACTTTTTAATGGCCAGCTCAGAATATAAGCTTTCCAAAAGTTGTTTATATATTATAGAGATCAGTCCTTTCGGGAGCCCAGATCATTTATTTATAAATCCCATCACTGGATGGTTCGGTAGTTGGGTTTCCCAAGGGACTCCATAGGCCAGCATAGCTGACCTAAGTTGTAAATATCGAAAAAGGAGTTGCTTGGTAATGTGTATGTATCTTTCAAATCTTGGAATGTTCTCAAACCATTACTGTCCATGATATCGGCAAGTATACGGATTCCACATTTGGACCATTGGGGTGTGTGCAAAATGTCGACCTCCAGATCACAAGGCATTATTGTGAAATATTGGAGTATGGGCATGCAATTTTGATTCCAAGTCCAAATAGATATTGCGTGAGCAATAATAGGACCAAAGCACAGTTTACATTGTTTAAGGGATATATCAGTGAATACCACCTCTTTCAGGGTAATAGGAGACACCATATTTCTCTCTGTACTCTGCCAGGGGCAGAAGAATCATGTCTAAACCAATTTAGGAAGGGGTGAAATGCCTGGAAATACAATTTAAAGCTTAGTATGGATAGTCTTCCTATGTCTTTCCCTCTTTGTAAGTTTGTTAATTTTCTCCGGGATCGTTTACCTTAACGCATACATTTTGAAACCGCACTATGAATTTTATCCCAAAAGCCAGAAATGGGAGCCATGGGAAGCATTGAACTACAGAAATTCAGCCTTAGCAATATATTAATTTTGACAATAGATATTCTACCGGTTAAAGAAACTGGGATCAGAGTATGTGAGTGGAGCTGGAGGGGAGCGAGTAGCGGAGCGTGCCCAATTTGACTGGAGCGTGGTGCGAGATTCCCAAAGGCTGGAGTGTCGGCCTTCTTGCCCGCTCCAATTTTGCTCCAGTAGCGCTCAGTTCACGAGCTCAGGGCATGCTGGGCCCAGCATGCATTTGTAGTCTACTTGTGTGCTGCTATAGCCCCTCGCTTTACACACAGGTGCAAAATCAAGGTGACTTACAACGATGAGGACCAAGAGCAAGAGAGGGAGTGTGGTGATGTAGTGTCCACAACTAAATAATCATTGTGGAATCTGAAAAGACGCATATCCCGAAAGCATGATAGTGTACATACTATGTGCACATGCTAAAATAAATTAACGAGGTGGGTAGCTAATTAAGTGTGTCATTGTAGCAAAGTATTTATAAACCAAAAAATCTGATCTCTTAAAAGTTTCCTTCATTTTTGTTCTATTATCTATATTATCTAGGCCTGCCATATTCCAACTGTCAAGGAGCTTTCCGTTTTGATTGGGTTATTTTGCCTAAAAAACTCTGCATCCCTGCCCAGCCTAGCAAGAGTGGCCAAAAGGCTGTTTAGCATCCCCAGTGGCTCTGCAAGCACGGAGAGGATATTCTCCGCTGCTGGCCTGCTCTCCAGACACCATTGAATGAGCCTGAAGCCACAGACTCTGGCCAAACTGGTGTTTCTAAAAATGAATTAAAAGGCACTATAGACTGAGCCTAATAAGGCATTTTTTTGTTAATCACAGCCTATATGCACAATTTATAGACTATAATGATTTAATACAACAAAATGTTGTTTAAATGCTGAGCGCTTAATGTCCCTGACTCCCTACCAGCCTAGTGTGTCACACGCAAATGCTTCACAATGTATTTATTTGTAGACTATAGCCTTGAAATAATTTAAACAAATAGCCTAAATAAATAATTTCCGTTCCTTTGTAGGCTCCCTGTCTGTCTCCTGACCTATTTAGAGTGTTTATATGCTGTTTAATATGACATGTAGCCTATTTGAAATGATGAGCACTTCTTACATTCACCTTTTCATGTTTATTAAGGCACTACTTTTCATTCAAATCATATGGTTTGTTGCTCAGTTGGTAGAGCATGGCGTTTGCAAACGCCAGGGTTGTGGGTTCGATTCCCACGGGGGCCAGTATGAAAAAACAAAACAATAATAATAATAATAATGTTTGCACTCACTAACTGTAAGTCGCTCTGGATAAGAGCGTCTGCGAAATGACGTAAATGTAAATGTTTGGTTTCAATACTTCAAAACCAAATGGTAGGTCCAGGAAGTCACAGAAAATAGATGGTTGTTTGTTAAATTGTGATATTAATGAATGGAGCGAATTTGTAGTGGCATTTTGTTTTCCTGTGAGCGCGGAGCGGTTGAAAAGGACGTGGAGTGCCGGCCCACAGCTTGATGAGCGGAATTTCCAACAGCTCAACTCTACTCACATAATCTGATTGGGATATTATTCCATCTAATGAGGTCGGATTTAATTGATTTGAGCGTTCTGTTAAAGTTTCTGCCAATGGTTTTATCTAAGGGAGGAAATATATCTAGTCCAAAGTATTTAAAATGGGAAACAATTGGGATTCCATAAGCAGAGATGGAGTCCTCCATCAATGTCTTAAGAGGCATTAGGGCTGATTTGGGTAGATTCATTTTATAACTTGAGATTAAGCTGAATTTATCTATGATCTTTAATGCGATTGAGATACATTGTCTAGATAAAGTAAAATATCATCTGTGTATAATGAGATGAAGTGATCAGTAGATTTGAGGGAAATTGGTGTTAAAGGGGGCGATAGTGACAACACTGGGTGGCATCCTTACCTTTTTTTATTAAAGCGAAATTAGTGCTGTATTCATCTCTCTCCCAAATTAACCTTTGTGAATGGCTGTGTTAATCATTTTGAGCAATAGTGCACTTCATTGATTCCAAATGTTTAAATAGGAGGAATACCATCCCATCCAGGTGATGTACCTTTATTTATGCTATCCAATGCCCTTTTGTGTTCATTGAGATAGATTTGGGCTCCCAGCGAGGTGGCTTCTTCTGTTGAGAGAAGAGAAGTTCTTAATTATTTTAGAAAGGATTTAGTCTGGTTTGGTGTTGATTTACTATCAGAGGTGTACAGTTCTTTATAGAAGGATAATCTGATTAATTTGGGTTCTGATAGTAACTCCCCTCTTTCAGATTCAATAGCTAAATCAGCTAATTGATCATTACTGGCTTGTTGGCCAGTAAATGACAAAGACGATCTAACTCGATGGATGGCAAATTCTGCTCTCTGTCAATAAATTAAGTTATGTCTTGACTTTGGCAAGGGTAATAGCTACCTGGTCTGAAAAGTGTTTGTTGAGAACACTCAAATGCAGTTAACAACATTTCCAATTCTGACATCTTCTTTAATTGTGATTTATTCAACCCAGATGCAAATGCAATTGCGTTATTTTTATAAAACCTTTGGTGGCATCCCATAGAATCAAGTTTATTGATCATTGTTAATTAAGTTAGGTACATTTCAAATTGATCACAGAATGTAGGATTTTGTAGTAATGAAACGTTGAAACACCATCTTGTGGCTCATTTAGTAGATTCTAAGATTTGAAGTTGGCAGTAGTAAGCGTGGTGGTCAGACAAGCTCATATATCGAATTTCTATTTTCTTGATTAAAGAAAGTAGAGGTGTAGATAATAGCATAAAATCGATTCTGGATAATTTTTTATGCCTGTTTGAGTAGAAAGTGTACTCTCTTGCTTTCGGATTATGTGCTCGCCAGGCAACAATGAGCTTATAATCAGAAAGTAGGCTATATGCTGGAGAGCCTTGGTTGCGTGTGGTTTGTTGTTGGTCTTGTTAGATTTGTCTTGCATGTCCAAAATGGCATTCATGTCTGTCCCAATAACCTGATGGAATTCAGTTAATTCTAACAATATGCTGTTCAGAGAATCAAAAAAGTAGGATCAGATGAATTTGGAGCGTACACATTAGTAAAGGCATCTTTCCTTCCATTATCGATACATTTAAGGAAAGTGATTCTGCCTTCTTGGTCTTCGCCTTCACCAAAGTTGGTGATTTTGAGTTTATTATGTATCATTATGAGTTCACCTTTTAGTTTTGTTTGGGGCTGATGAAAAATAAGGCAGTTTGTATAAAGGGTTCTGCATTCTATGTACATCCTTATGGAGCAGATGTGTTTATCGGGCATTGCTATAACAGGATGGTTTCTTGCTAGGATATCAAGACAGCTGGAATGTTTGATAGGACAATGTCTGCCTTTCAAATTCCAAGAGAATAGCTAGCGTTGCAATTGTTTTTCAGAAAGGAATGTTTCAGAAAGTATTCACACCCCTTGACTTTTTCCACATTTTGCTGTGTTACAGCCTGAATTATTGTTAAATACATAACAAATTAATTAAAATGAAAAGCTGAAATGTCTTGAGTCAATAAGTATTCAACCCCTTTGTTATGGCAAGCCTAAATAAGTTAATGAGGGAAAATGTGCTTAACAAGTCACATAATAAATTCCATGGACTCACTCTGTGTTTTATAATAATGTTTAACATGATTTTTGAATGACTACCTCATCTCTGTACCCCACACATACAATTATCTGTAAGGTCCCTCAGTCGAGCAGGGAATTTTAAACAGATTAAACCACAAAGACCAGGGAGATTTTCCAATGCCTCGCAAATAAGGGCACCTATTGGTAGATGGGTAAAAATAAAAAAGCAGACATTGAATATCCCTTTGAGCATGGTGAAGTTATTAATTACACTTTGGATGGTGTATCAATAAACCCAGTCACTACAAAGATACAGGTGTCCTTCCTAACTCAGTTGCCAGAGAGGAAGGAAACCGCTCAGGGATTTCACCATGAGGCCAATGGTGACTTTTTAAAACAGTTACAGAGTTGAATGGCTGTGATAGGAGAAAACTGAGAATGGCTCAACAACATTGTAGTAACTCCACAATACTAACCTAAATGACAGAGTGAAGAGAATGAACCCTGTACAGAATACATTTTTTCCAAAACATGCATCCTGTCTGCAATAAGGCACTAAAGTAAGGCTGCAAAGAAAGTGTGGCAAATAAATTAACTTTATGTCCTGAATACGAAGCGTTATGTTTGGGGCAAATCCAACACAACACATCACTGAGTACCACTCTTCATATTTTCAAGCATGGTGGTGGCTAGATCATGTTATGGGTATGCTTTTCATCGGCAAGGACTATGGAGTTTTTTTTAGGATAAAAATAAACAGAATAGAGCTAAGCACAGGCTAAATCCTAGAGGAAAACCTGGTTCAGTCTACTTTCCAACAGATACTGGGAGACACATTCACAAATTCAGCAGGACAATAACCTAAAACACAAGTACAAATATACACTGGAGTTGCTTACCAAGACGACATTGAATGTTCCTGAGTGGCCTAGTTACAGTTTTGACTTAAATCCATCTTAAATCTATGGCATGACTTGAAAATGGCTGTCTAGCAATGATCATCAACCAATTTGACAGAGCCTGAATAATTAAAATAATAATAATGTGCAAATAACGTACAAACCAGGTGTGCAAAGGTCTTAGAGACTTACCCAGAAAGACTCACAGCTGTAATCACTGCCAAAGGAAATTCAGTGGTGTGAATACTTATGTAAATGAAATGTTTCTTTATACCATTTTCATTAAATTAGCAAAACATTCTAAACACATATTTTCACTTTGTCATTATGGGGCATTGTGTGTAGTGAGAACCCCCCCCCCCCTTCCCTAGCCCCCAGTCCCCTCCCCATTCCCCCCGCCCCGTACTATCATTACAGGGTTGCAGCATAACGGTGAGTAGCAGCCTTACACATGAAGTCTCTTAGCAGCATATTTTTTAGGTCTTAAGGTATTCAAAAATAAATAAAGTAGAACATAAAATAAATAACCCTTTTCAGACCTTTACAGTTTAGTTAGCAGACTTGGATTAGTTTGGGTGGGTAATGAAGAAAAAATGAAATACAATAACATTTACATTTTAGTCATTTAGCAGACGCTCTTATCCAGAGCGACTTACAGTTAGTGAGTGCACACATTATTTTTTTCATACTGGCCCCCCGTGGGAAACGAACCCACAACCCTGGCGTTGCAAACGCCATGCTCTACCAACATCCCTGCCGGCCATTCCCTCCCCTACCCTGGACGACGCTGGGCCAATTGTGCGCCGCCCCATGGGTCTCCCGGTCACGGCCGGCTACGACAGAGCCTGGATTCAAACCAGGATCTCTAGTGGCACAGACCACTGCGCCACTCAGGAGTACAATAACAGACATGCAAGCCTAAAGTGACAGCATTCTGACAAACTGACAACATTCACTTCTGTATCGTTCCATCTGTGTTTTGAGATGTCACATTGTACAGGTATGTTTCTGCTTTCTGAAACAATGATTACCCCTTCACCTCCCTGAGAGAGAAAGGGCTGTAGGGATGAAGCAGGTCCCTGGCCCTCAGGTGAGATAATAACTGTCAAATCTGCATGTTGGATTTCCCAGGATGGCCAGGCAAGCAGAGAGTTTATGCTAACTAGTTCAGGGTTGGTGTTTACCAAAACAAAGCATGTCAGAGGAGGATGCCGATAGCATGAAGTTGCATTCACTGAGCGAGTAATGTAGCATTTACAAATAAAGGTTGCTGCATTGTAGCATTACTATTGCTCCATGCAGATAATTATGCAAGTTTATGCAATAGTATTTGAATTATGTTGTAAATGTTGGCTATGTCTGAATACATTTTGCAAATGGATGTGATCATGAGGACTGGAGGGGAAAGTTTATGTTGAAATACTCCGTAAGATTCCTGATATTTCGATTAGCGAGACAGAAATCCCTTTGAGGTTTATTGATGATCCGAAGGAATTAATTATGAAATGTATGTGTTCATTGTGGATTTCAGTGAAAGTCCAAGTTTGAGATGTTCCAAATGTTAGAGCGTTAGAAAGATCCCTCTTGTAAAAAGATAAAGAAAGAAAGGGCCTTTTCAGTTAATGTTTCTGAGCTGAAATATTTGCATTACAATGGAATGTTTAATGACTAAATAAGGAAAAGTGGGGTAATTATTTTACCCCTTTGAAAACATACACACACCCTCCACTGATCTGAGGAGGGGGCCTCTGCCTGTGTGCCCAGGACTGATCTCCAGAGGTCAGGGGCCAGGGGTTCTGCATTGTTGGAGCATCTGACTCCAGGGGGAGATACATGAGGATTTAGCTGTGACCAGTTTCACACCCAGTGAAAGGGAAGAGTGGGGCGGGAAGGAGAAGAAGTAGAATCCTCAGTTGTTAATTGCATATATTGTTTATCATAATGATTCCTGTAATAAAGGTGTCTGTCCTGCCGCTTTACCGGCCTGTTTTGCTGGGGCCGGTTGATGTAATGAGCGAGCCTCTCACACTCTCTCTTCCCCCTTGTGTCCCCTTTGTGTATAACATTTCAAAATGCAATTGTGGGGAAAAAACGACTTTGGAAGCAACTCGTTTTCCATATTAAAGAGAAGAGGGTCTCAGCTTTCTGTAGGTATAATTTGTATTTCTCAGTTATTATTATTGAGCTCAAAGCACACTGTTTTACAATGAAGATATCTGATATGGCTTTGAAATACGGAGCGTGCGAAATTGCTCATCAGCCATCGCAAGTGCCCAGGCCTGATCTCCAGAGGTCAGGAGCCAGGGGTCCTGCATTGTTGGAGCATCTGACTCCAGGGTGAGATGCATGAGGATTTAGCTGTGACCAGTTTCACACCCAGTGAAAGGGAAGAGTGGGGGGGGGGTGGAGAAGAAGAATCCTCAGTTGTTAATTGCATATCTTTAAGGTTAATTTGTCGCTAGGGTCACACCATAGACCATATAGGAATGTATTTTGTTTGCACATATACAAAACGTACGAATAGTTTGTGAATAGTGAATAGAATGTGTAATATTTAAGCAATAAGGCTCGAGGGGATGTGGTATATGGCCAATATACCATGGCTAAGGGCTTTTCTTATGTACGACGCAATGTGGAGTGCCTGGATACAGCCCTTTGCCGGTGTATATTGACAATATACCAACATAATTAGAGCAGTAAAAATACATGTTTGTCATACCCATGGTTTACGTTCTGATGTACTACGGCTTTCAGCTAATCAACATTCAGGGCTCGAAAAACCCAGTTTATAATTAGTTGTGAAGTATACATCTATAAGCACTCTTATCAAAAAAAAAATCACACCATCTACAAAATGTGTTCAATTTTCACTCACCGTAACACCATCTCCCCTCCAGGTAAGTTTGAGGAGAAGGAGGATCGTGTACCAAAGCTGGAGCAGCTAAACTCTCTGGGCTTCATGTGCAGTCTGAACCTGTCCCTGAGCAAGAAGGACCTGGTCAAGATGGAGCTCCTCCTCTTAGAGACGTTTGGCTGGAACCTGTGCATGCCCACGCCGGCCCACTTCATAGACTACTACCTCCATGCTGCTGTACAGGAGGGAGACCTGCACAATGGCTGGCCCCTCTCCTCCCTCAACAAGACCAAAGCCTTCATGGACAAGTACACACACTACTTCCTGGAAGTCTCACTGCAAGGTGAGGATGAGATTGGGAGTAGGGCTGTGGCGGTCATGAAATGTTGTCAGACGGTTATTGTCATGCAAAAGACAATAAGAGTTGGCCTACTGTATCTTATCTGGCTATGCTCCATGCCATAGGCTGTAGGCTTGTTCACTTAGCTGACAAGATATGCTTATAAGTCCCGTGCCATTATTTTGTATTATATGATTTTATAGTAAGAAAAATATGATTGAACTTAGCTGAATAAAATAGAAAGGATATTTTTTCCCATTCCGGAGCGAGTGCGCATATGAAGTGGCTATGTTGAGCGTAAAAGTGATCATTTGAAACAGGTCCGATACCCTAGATTTAGCAACTTTGGCAACTTTAGTTATGAATGATACAACCCTTAGAATGTCTTAGAAATCAAAACATGCATGTATATGGGCTGCATGATGCGACTATAGGCTATTGATGATATGAGAAAGTCGCAAAAAAAAAATTTGCGCTCTGTTCCTTGCTTCAGGCTTCACACACTGTTCTCTCATTAAGTGATCATATTTTCACCAATTAGACTATTCTCAATTTAATCAAAACTCTGCTTTCACACGGGTTTATAGAAATGTCTGGGCTTATAAGAACACTTATTTCACTCCATGCATCAACCATTGTTTGAGGAGCATGCGCTCGCTGCGCGACAGGTGATATTTCGCCCAAACTCTGTATGCCATGGGCTCTCCAACCCTGTTTCTGCAGCTACCCAGAGCTTAATTTGGGAAACCAAGTGAAATCCGTTTGGGAACATCGATAGTAACAAGTTTTCACAACAAAACATACTTCATTAAACGGTTGACAGCCCCTCTGCGTGCTCGAGAGAGGAATGAAGAGGGAGGAGGAGATGGAAATGTACAGTGGTGAGCTATTCTATATAGCTAAAGGTAATGTGTATTTTTATTTGTATTTATTATGGATCCCCACTCTTCCTGGGGTCCAGCAAAATTAAGGCAGTTCATAAAGCCATAACACATACGTTTTTCCATTAGCAGACTATGATCGATAATGTCAAAAGCCACACTGAAGTCTAACAAAACAGCCCCCACAATCTTTTGATCATCAATTTCTCTCAGCCAATCATCAGTCATTTGTGTAAGTGCTGTGTTTGTTGAATGTCCTTCTCTATAAGCATGCTGAAAGTCTGTTGTCAATTTGTTTACTGTAAAATAGCATTGTATCTGGTCAAACACCATTTTTCCTAATAGTTTACTAAGGGTTGGTAACAGGCTAATTGGTCGGCTATTTGAGCCAGTAAAGGGGGCTTTACTCTTCTTAGGTAGTGGAATGACTTTTGCTTCCCTCCAAGCCTGGGGGCACACACATTCTAGTAGGCTTAAATTGAAAATATGGCAAATAGGAGTGGCAATATCATCCGCTATTATCCTCAGTAATTGTCTATCCAAGTTGTTAGACCCTGGTGGCTTGTCATTGTTGATATACAACAATACTTTTTTCACCTCTTTCACACTCTCTTTACGGAATTCAAAATTACAATGCTTGTCTTTCATAATTTGGTCAGATATACTTGTATGTGTAGTGTCAGCAATTGTTGCTGGCATGTCATGCCTAAGTTTGCTAATCTTGCCAATGAAAAAATCATTAAAGTAGTTGGCAAATTCAGATGGTTTTGTGATGAATGAGCCATCTGATTCAATGAATGATGGAGCTGAGTTTGCCTTTTTTCCCAAAATGTAATTTAAGGTGCTCCAAAGCTTTTTACTATCATTCTTTGTGTCATTTATCTTTGTTTCATAGTGTAGTTTCTTCTCATTTTTATTCAGTTTAGTCACATGATTTCTCAATTTGCAATACGTTTGCCAATCCGTTGTGCAGCCAGACTTATTTGCCATTTATTTTGCTTCATCCCTCTCAACCATACCATTTTTCAATTCCTCATCAATCCACCGGGATTTAACAGTTTTTACAGTCATTTTCTTAATGGGTGCATGCTTATTAGTAACTGGAATAAGCAATTTCATAAATGAGTCAAGTGCAGTGTATGTTTGCTCCTCATTACACACCACGGACCAACAAATATAAATCACCCAGAAGGTATACCTCCATATTGATATCATATACATTATCAAGCATTTCAGACATGTTATCCAGATACTGACTGTTAGCACTTGGTGGTCTATAGCAGCTTCCCACCAGAATGGGCTTTAGGCGAGGCAGATGAACCTGTAGCCATATTACTTCAACAGTATTTAACATGAGATCCTCTCTAATCTTCACAGGAATGTGGTTCTGAATATAAACAGCAACACCTCCACCATTGGCATTTCTATATTTTCTGTCAATGTTATAACCTTGTATTGCTACCACTGTATCATCAAAGGTATTATCTAAGTGAGTTTCAGAGATAGTCAGAATATTAATTTAATCTGTTACAAGCAAATGACTGATTTCATGAACCTTGTTTCATAAGCTACATATGTTAATGTGGGCTATTCTAGGATGCTTATTTGTTTTTATTGCTTTACTGGGAAGCTTAGCAGCAGTAGATGTGCTCATGTTCTTTATGTTAGTGCAGGGTGAGCTGCACCCTAGGACTTCCTCCTAGGGCACACTGGCTCAGTGCTAACAGTATAAATATGGTTCTTAGGCACATGATTACTGCATACAAATGATGTAGGATCAGCAGAGGCATTCAGGGCATTGGAGAGACATAAACTAGGTTACTTATATTGTGTCTACCGACACCCCTGGTGTAATGTACATTTGCTGAAGCATTATGACAACTCTGCATCACAATGGTAGGGATTAGCTGAGCTGGGCATGGGTCATTGATAAGTCATTGTCTCAACGCAGCCTTATAATGCTGTGAAAGGATCCAGGAACCCAAATTATTTGGGTGGATCCCATCCTCCTTATAAAACGTGTTTTGTTTCCAAAAGGTATCGAAATTGTCAACAAAAATTACACCCATTGAGCTGCCATAATCATGTAGCAAGTTGTGAAGAGCAAGAATTCAGATAAAGCGTTCAATGCCACGATTCAGAGAGGGCACAGGGCCAGATATGATGGCTTTTTTGTTAGTGTCTAGCAGAGAGTCAATCAGCTCTTTAAAATCCAGTTTCAACTGTTCAGAGCTGCCCTTCATAATGTCATTAAAACCCACATGGACTACGATAGAATCGATTTCCACGTCCTGACGCAATACATTCGGAAGCAGCGTAGTAATGTAATTTACTCGAGCTCCGGAATAGGACATTGTTTTTGCACCAGGAACGGTCACATTTCTTACCATGGAGCTGCCCAAAATCACGGCTGGTGAGAAGGACGAGGAAATCCGCCCTATTAATCAGCCTATTAATAATAAAATATAAAAAATGCCCTATTACTAGGCTATTAAAAATCAAATACAAATGCACTATAATTGTAGGATAACTGTAAGCCGCCCTGCACAATCAATGAACCAACAGCATCACCTAGGGCTCTACGTTCTCTCCCAAACTCGTGGATAGAAAGTTTGGAGTGTAGTGTACTGTCCACACTCAAAGGCGATTACTAGAATTTGTTTAATTTTGTAGTATAGGCTAGACCAATTATGTACCAAAGACAAATCAGTTTTAAATCAGTTTTGTTTCATGTTTTTCTGCCATGTGTAATATGCGGTAGGCTATGTATTGTATAATGGCACAATCGTTATTTTTTTCGGCCTTATATATAGGCCTATGCGTATAAACCTGTTGTTGAACTTCTTTCTTCAAATTGATCATCACAATTGATCATCACAATACGGTCACCGCAACAGCCCTGATTGGGAGTGCCCAAGAATGGAAGTCCATAAAGTGACTGCAGAGGGTGGTCTAATGGGCAAGACAGTTGGTCTCAATGGTGGGGCCATTCGTTGTTGAGTAAATGAGTGAGACTGATGATTTCTGTGTTTGTGTGTCTCAGACCATGCCTTCCTGAGCTTCCGGCCGTCCCAGGTGGCAGCAGCCTGCATTGCGGCGTCCCGCATCTGTCTCCAAATCACCCCAAGCTGGTCCACCGTTCTCCACCTGCTCACCGGATACTCCTGGGAACACCTCACTCAGTGCATCAAGCTCATGCTGCTGTAAGACTCCACTACTGCTTTACATAATGTGCTGTACACACACATTAATCTGGTCACAAACCAGGGGTGTATTCATTAGTCAGATTCCGTTACAAAAAGTTTTTTGCCTACTAGCAGTAGGTGTTATATTTAGAGTTAGAGATCTAGCTAATGTGTTTTGAGTTTACACTTCATCAGGTAGTGAAGAAGCACCAATTGAATTAGGACTATATACAATATTAGTGCACAAAAGAGGAAGGCAAATTCATCTCTATTGAACAAAACAATCAGAAAATTCTGGAGCCCTATTTTGACATGTTAGATGTAACAATTTATTGTGAATAATTTTATAATGACTTTATATGATGATGACTAAAATGTATTCTGTTGTGTGACGCGTCCCAAACTTATTTTGTTGGGTGCCACCAAATTTACATTTACATTTTTACTAGGGCTGTCAAATGATTAAAATTTTTAATCAAATTAATCAGAATTTTCAGTGGATTAATCATGATTAATCACTATTTGCAATTACACCTGAATCCTAACCATTTTTTTTCTGAAATGCATACCAAAAGATAAATAACAGGACACAGATACATAATTTTCATATTATGTCTGTTTATTAACACAGCCAAATAATGGTGTTTTAAATCAAGCTGAAACATACTACACACCATAATATTTGTCTTTGGCTGTGGCTCTTGACGGTGGCTTATAGAATGAGTCTTGAGACGCCACTTGCAAAACATCAAGGAAACCTGAGTCTTCTACAATGCTAATGGGTCTACAATCCTTTGCAATCCATTTTGCTATTGTGTTGGTCAAATTATCTGAGGTTGATTTTGTTAATTGCCTGCAAACATTCAGCGTGGTCTGGCGCAAACCACTTGCTGAATCTGACGGCCCAGCAAACGCATGTTTGGCGTTGACATGGTACTTCAAGCTTGAACAGCTCCGGTGAAATTGAAACTCCTTCTTACAAATCTTGCAAATAACCTTGTACTTGTTAACTGTACCATCATCATTCTTTTTATATTTGAATCCGTCAATAGGCCCACTTTGCTCACCTTGCTCCATCTCGCCTCTAGCTCCCAACCACTTTCCTGACCTGAATAATTTGTCACACTGCGCATGCGTGAAATGCGTTAAAAAAATTGACGTAATTAACAGCAAACAACTAATTAACGTCGTTAACGCGCTATTTTTGACAGCCCTAATTTTTACATTTACGTCATTTAGCAGACGCTCTTATCCAGAACGACTTAAATCATGGGCTTGTGCCACCAACTAAAGAAGTTGGGAAAATGTTAGTCTGGAGCCCTGAACAGACAAAACATTTTGCTATGGAATCCAACTAATGAATACACCCCATGTTTACTGACATCTGCTTACACTTAGTTTATCCATTTCTAAACTGTGGTGTTGAATGCTTCCCATGTATGCACTTCTCCTCCATTTTAATGCAATTTGAGTATTGAGGTTCTACAGCTTTTTCATAATGTTAATACCATTGACCCTTAGTTATTACCTCTGTATGTTGATGTTTATGTTCATCAGCTAAAGGTCGTTAAGTAATCATTTTCACTGTTTTTCTCCCTCTAGTGCCCATGACTACGATGTGAAACAGGCCAACAAATCCAAGTCCAACTCTCCGTCTGTCCAGAGTCCTCTCCAACCCCAGGCCCTTTCCTCAACCTCTACAGTCTCTGTCTCCACCCTGAAACAACCCTTACCTACCTCCCAGCAGCTGCTCTTCCAGACAGGTGGCTACCAGCAGCACCTCACCCAGCACTCCACTCCCCTTTCCCAGCTGCACATGCTAGGTGAGTCCCAGGCTCTGGGCCCTGTCAGGTCTCGGGACTACCTCCAAGCCCACCAGACAGGGCTCCTCACAGGCTCGGTTTCTCAGGGTGTCTTCCCCTCCTACCCCAGCCTGGCCTCAGGGCTGCGCTCCTCCCTTCCCCTGCAGGGACCCATCTCCATGCAAGTGGCCCTTGCTGCAGAGCCCCGTCACTGCCTGTCGTACGGGGGAGGCTACCTGGGCTCCCATCACACCTTCACAGCAGGCTGCTTCGACAGGTGACACCAGGAGAGGGAGGACAAACAGAACCTGGGGCAGTCAGTGTCCTCCTCCATCCGTCCTGACCTCATCCACTGGGGACAAAGGAAACCAAAACAAAGAAGCAATGTCAATGCAGATGTTGCTGAGGTCATAGTATTGACCTAACAAAGGCCCTACCTATTTGAAATGAGACACTATTTGTGATGAGCTGTTTACATACAGTACATACTGTTCCCTTCACGTGACTGCCTGCTCTATGCTGAGAGACTGTGATTCTGCTATCAACTGTGGTTGTGTGGAGCCCCTGCTTCCACGTCAGTTCTCTCAATGTGGGACTGCTGTTTTTTATACTATTATCTTTCAATGCGGCTGCCTTAAACAAAATGATGACTTTATGATCATGAAAGTAGTCTGTCCTAGCTATTGTTTACATGATCTATACCATATCAGGGTTTGAAGTATTACTTGAAAGAATATGTATTTAAACAGCTGTGTAAATTCATTTCTTTTTTGATGTTGTGTTTTTAACTTCTACTGGGTGAAAATAGTGTGTATTGTAATGTAGGAGATGCCTCGCTAGGATTTCTGACCCATCTTTGGCCTTGGCTGGTGTAGAGTAGACTCCATCTTGTTTTGCCTTTCTGGTGCCCCTGGAAGCAGATGGAGCCATGGTTCCCAGGGGAACAGCCACATCAGTCCTCTCAGCACATCAAACCACAGGGGAGGAAGTGATGCTTTACTAGCTAGTCCCCAGGGGGGCAAAGCAACACTTTCTCCTCAGTTCATGTAAATTCTCCTGACTGGTACCATTTCATCTGTGTGTCTTTGACTGAAACCCATGAAAGTCACACAACCCTCACTGGAACAGCTACTGTTGCTCTCATTGTCACAAGGACCTTGAGCAGCTAATGACACCATGATCACGTTGGGAAGGCTTCTGCACAGGATAGCTTGTAGTTCAATTTCGCTGACATTCTCATCTGGTCATACTACTAATACTACTACTGATGTCCTACCACACTCTCCAGGGGGGTTGCTATTTGTGTAGTTTTACTGCAATTTACTGTACCTGTAAAATGGACCTTGCTTGATCAGATGGAAAGAGTGCCACCAAACATGATACATCCTATAAAATGAGCGAAAGTATAGTTGACCTTAAAGCTGGAATCCTTAAGGGTGAAAGTGCCATGTCTGTTTGTGATATTACAACAAAGAAGTTACTGCAAACAGCAAACACTTTTTTCCCCCTTGGACACCATTGCACACATGATAGAACAGCAGCATACAGTGCATTCGGAAAGTATTCAGACCCCTTGACTTTTTCCAATATTTTGTTACGTTACAGCCTTTTTCTAAAATTGATTAAATAAAACCAAATCCTCATCAATCTACACACAATACCCCATAATGACGAAGCGAAAATACGTTTTTAGAAAATTTTGCAAATTCTACATTAAAATAAACACATACCATATTTACATAAGTATTCAGATCCTTTGCTATGAGATTCGAAATTGATCTCCGGTGCATCCTGTTTGCATTGATCATCCTTGAGCTGTTTCTACAATTTGATTGGAGTCCAACTGTGGTAAATTCAATTGATTGAACATGATTTGGTAAGGCACACACCTGTCTATATAAGGTCCCAGAGTTGACAGTGCATGTCAGAGCAAAAACCAAGCCATGAGGTCAAAGGAATTGTCCGTAGAGCTCAGAGACAGGATTGTGTCGAGGCACGGATCTGGGGAAGGGTACCAAAATAGTTCTGCCTCATTGAAGGTCCCCAAGAACACAGTTGCCTCCATCATTCTTAAATGGAAGAAGTTTGGAACCACCAAGACTCTTCCTAGAGCTGGCCGCCCAGCCAAACTGAACAATCGGGGGAGAAGGGCCTTGGTCAGGTAGGTGACCAATAACTCAATGGTCACTCTGACAGAGCTCCAGAGTTCCTCTGTAGTGATGGGAGAACCTTCCAGAAGGACGACCATCTCTGCAGCACTCCACCAATCAGGCCTTTATGGTAGAGTGGCCAGATGGAAGCCACTCCTCAGTAAAAGGCACATGACAGCCCGCACCTAAAGACTCTCAGACCATGAGAAACAAGATTCTCTGGTCTGATGAAACCAAGATTGAACTCTTTGGCCTGAATGCCAGCCGTCACGTCTGGAGGAAACCTGGCACCATCCCTACGGTGAAGCATGGTGGTGGTAGCATCATGATGTGGGGATGTTTTTCAGTGGCAGAGACTGGGAGACTAGTCAAGATCAAGGGAAAGATAAACGGAGCAAAATACAGAGAGATCCTTGATGAAAACCCGCTCCAGAGCGCTCAGGACCTCAGATTGGGGAGAATGTTCACCTTCCAACAGGACAACGACCCTAAGCACACAGCCAAGACAACGCAGGAGTGGCTTCGGGACAAGTCTCTGAATGTCCTTGAGTGGCCACGCCAGAGCCCGGACTTGAACCTGATCGATCATCTCTGGAGAGACCTGAAAATAGCTGTGCAGCGACGCTCTCCATCCAACCTGACAGAGCTTGAGAGGATCTGCAGAGAAGAATGGGAGAAACTCCCCAAATACAGGTGTGCCAAGCTTGTGGTGTCATACCCAAGAAGACTCAAGGCTGCAATCGCTGCCAAAGGTGCTTCAACAAAGTACTGAGTAAATGGTCTGAATACTTATGTAAATGTGATATTTCAGTTGTTGTTTTTTTTACAAATATGAATACATTTCTAAAAACCTGTTTTTGCTTTGTCATTATGGGGTATTGTGTGTAGATTGATGAGGGGTGAAAAAAACAATTTAATCCATTTTAGAATAAGGCTGTAACGTAACAAAATGTGGAAAAAGTCAAGGGGTCTGAATACTTTCCGAATGCACTGTAATATTTCCTTGATGCGCGACGCTCCCCCAGCGCTCCATACCTCTGCTTGTCAACAGAACAAAAACAATAACAATGGTCGTGGGGCAGACAGTGGCGCTGTTTCCCATTACTGCGGATTCCATCTTTAAGCTGTTTTGTGATTAATGGTTACCTTGGATACAACCCACTGAATGTCAGTAGGAATATCTCAAACATTAAAGAACAAAAGTCAAGTAACTAAGAGAGTGTATGACTCGGGCTTAACAATGGCATCAGCTTTTTTCTTTGGTGCTTATATGGAATATGAGCTTGATGTCTGTGTCATGAGTCATGATGCTGTCATATAGTGACGTCTAAATCCAGGCAGGCCATACATGCTGTTACCATTAGCCAAGTATATGTGGGTCCAGTACACAAAATATCTCAGGTTTGATGGGGTGAGGATGGAGGAGTAATGTAATCTTTTCCACTGATCACATCCTGACCACAATGTATATCTGCTTCCCCTACTGCTGACAGATGGTATGAAGGGGCCATGGGCCTGTAGTCTACTGGGTCTCAGACAACAAAACCATCCTCCTGCATACCTTAACGTTTACCTACCTCAATATATAGTGCAAGCTATGTTTATTATTTGCAACTTTTTTCATTAGACCAAATGTACATTTAGTTGACTTTATATTTGATATGTACAGTGCCTTGCAAAAGTATTCATCCCCGTTGGCGTTTTTCCTATTTTGTTGCATTACAACCTGTAATGTAAATTGATTTTTATTTGGATTTCATGTAATGGAGCACCATTAAATCCATTATTAAAAAATTGAAAGAAAATGGCACCACAACAAACCTGCCAAGAGAGGGCCGCCCACCAAAACTCATGGACCAGGCAAGGAGGGCATTAATCAGAGAGGCAACAAAGAGACCAAAGATAACCCTGAAGGAGCTGCAAAGCTCCACAGCGGAGATTGGAGTATCTCTCCATAGGACCACTTTAAGTCGTACACTCCACAGAGCTGGGCTTTATGGAAGAGTGGCCAGAAAAAAGCCATTACTTAAAGAAAGAATTAAGCAAACACGTTTGGTGTTTGCCAAAAGCCATGTGGGAGACTCCCCAAACATATGGAAGAATGTACTCTGGTCAGATGAGTTAAAATTGAGCTCTCATCACCCCAAGAACACCATCCCCACAGTGAAGCATGGTGGTGGCAGCATCATGCTGTGGGGATGTTTTTCATCGGCAGGGACTGGGAAACGGGTCAGAATTGAAGGAATGGATGGATGGCGCTAAATACAGGGAAATTCTTAAGGGAAACCTGTTTGTCTTCCAGAGATTTGAGACTGGGACGGAGGTTCACCTTCCACCAGGACAATGACCCTAAGCATACTGCTAAAGCAACACTCGAGTGGTTTAAGGGGAAACATTTAAATGTCTTGGAATGGCCTAGTCAAAGCCCAGACCTCAATCCAATTGAGAATCTGTGGTATGACTTAAAGATTGCTGTACACCAGCGGAACCCATCCAACTTGAAGGAGCTGGAGCAGTTTTGCCTTGAAGAATGGGCCAAGCTTATAGAGACATACCCCAAGAGACTTACATTTACATTTTACATTTTAGTCATTTAGCAGACGCTCTTATCCAGAGCGACTTACAGGAGCAATTAGGGTTAAGTGCCTTGCTCAAGGGCACAGACAGATGTTTCACCTAGTCGGCTCGGGGATTAGAACCAGCGACCTTTCGGTTACTGGCACTACGCTCTTAACCACTAAGCTACCTGCCGCCCACTTGCAGCTGTAATTGCTGCAAAGGGTGGCTCTACAAAGTATTGACTTTGGGGGGGTGAATAGTTATGCAACGCTCAAGTTTTCTGTTTTTTTTGTCTTATTTCTTGTTTGTTTCACATAAAAAATATTTTGCATCTTCAAAGTGGTAGGCATGTTGTGTAAATCAAATGATACAACCCCCCCCAAAATCAATTTTAATTCCAGGTTGTAAGGCAACAAAATAGGAAAAATGCCAAGGGGGGTGAATACTTTCGCAAGCCACTGTATATTTGATGTTTTTTTCTCACAGTATCTGCACATGTGCACGGGTTTGCTTCACGCTGTTACAGCATGGTAGCCACAGGACAAAAACAGCGGAGAAGTTGAGCCTTGCGCTTCAAAGCTCTTAGTAGTTGTGGAAATTGACCCACTATGCTGTTTACTTTCTGCATTTACGTCATTTCACTGACTCTACCTGTAACTTTTTTTTGTTTTATGTTGGAATATATGAAGAGCTCAATGCACCATCAAAGACCAATCTATCTTGTGTGATATGTAGGCTAATGATTGGTCACTTTAGTTAAGATTACTTTCAATCACACCGCCATCTTATTGTGTTTTTAAGCTCACTTTGTCTTTCGTTTTTGCAATTGCTTTGTAGTACTTTTAACTGCTTAGAACGGCAGTGGATTTCTTTACCTAAATGAAAATGTTGCACATTGAAACCACCTACAAGCCTCAACTCTTGAAATCCAAGTGGACCAACGACATCCACCCTGATGGATCAATGATAACGGCTATGTGCATTTGTGCAGGAGAAGCGCATATTGGGGAAGGGGAATCAAAAAGTGTTTACTCTGTCAATTGAGTTGCAAATAAAACAACATTTTACAAAAGCCAGACTGGCAGTATTGTTTCTCCACCCTTAGTTTTTCATCTTTGTAGAGAATATACTGTAGATGTGTATAGCAAGCCTCTCTGAAGTCGATTAGCATACCCCAGGGGGAATAGTTTAATATGAATGTTTCAACTCATTGCACATGAAAAGCTCTTCAACGGGGGAAGAGGAGCTCCACCCTCTCTTGACCACTAACCCCAGCCTCCCCTGATGCTCCCTTCCTCTACAGACCTCAAGACAATGAAGGAGATTCCTATCCCTCATTTTTACCCTCCCTTTGCCACTAAACAAATAGTTAAGAAACTGGAGACTATCGATACTGTAGGCCTTACGGAGGAGATTTGTATTACAATGAAAAGGCGAATGTTATGAAGTGTAAAGAAAAACTGTGTACAGAATCATTGCAAATGAAGAGTTATGAAAACATGTTAGTCTCTCGAGATACAAACCACGGCTGAAAGACAAAATAAGGAAGTACAAGCAATGAAAAAAAGATATATATAAAAAAAACATTTGCACTCACACATTTCTGGGATATTTTGTAACATCCTTTGTGTCCTGTATTCATTTCACAGATCATAAAGTTGTGCAACATTTTTAATTAGTGAAAAAACGTGGGAGAGGAAAAGTGATTTATAATCCGAGTTGATTACCAATGATAGGAAAGGGAGGTTATAGTAGCCCCCCTTTGGACGGATCGGTAGGGGGTACTGAAGGCAGTCCCAGGAACTGAGAAGAGGAGACTCTGGAGTGGGCAAAGGGGTTGGGTAATGGATCATTCTCGCTAGCTTTGTTTACAAAGCAGAGAGGGGAGGGGCTGGCTAGCATGGTCCTCTGGTTACCCAGAGAGGGGGGCACTCATTCACACCGAGACATCCCCTCATCTACCAATTGTTTTGTTGTGACTACCCCAGAGAGCTTAATGGCTATTAACGCAGTGTGGCACAAACATGTTATTTGCTTGTTAATGTTTAATACTAAAACCTAACAATGTACATATATCAAGGTGGAAATGAAAAATCTAACTGGTTTCCAGATTCTATTCTACTCAATGCTTAATCTTGATGTTATAGGGTGTGAATGTGTCTAGCAAACTCTCGACTATTCTTTCAACCTTTTATTAAAGTTGCTTCTGAAATGTACTGTGCTTAAAGATAGATTTCCCTCTAGTGGTTGTCCCATGATAAATGTAGTGACATTTGGCAAGACAGGTTTTCCTTTACCGTTATGTGGCAAATGTCATCAAGCATAGGAGAGACACAAAGACTAAAGCAGCAGGTTGGCTGTGCAGTCTTACTTTATTTACTAATTATTCAGTTTGAGTTTTTTTGCTAATATCACAGTTACAATGTCTTTAGATCTTCTTGCTGGTTCTTTTCAGCACGACTGAGCCCGCGATTGAGGTCTAAACAGGGGGAAAACACATACAACATTACTTGAACTGCCTAAATGTATTTTTTCTTCTCCCCTCTAATATACACCTTCTTCTGCCATAAGTGCCACTTTTACTTACCTCAATCAGCTTTCCTCCGCTGATTTCAGATGTGTGGTGGTAGTTAGGGAACTTTGTGCTCAGCTTGCCCCCCTCCATTGTAACTGTGGCCTGAAATGGATGGACACAAAAATGCTTTTATTCATGCTAGAATTTATTCAATCAACAATCTCAGTTTGTTTCATCTAGATGTCTTATAATACATGCATCCAAGTTCCCCTCGACATAGATAATTTTTTACTCTAGTGACTTTTGTCTGAAGAAGCTTACACAACAGACACCAGCATAACCCCCCCCCCCCCCCTGATCTAAACTTTGACTGAAAGTTGTATGAGACATCATACAGATTCTTACCTTGAACTTTTTCCCTCCGATAGTCTCCATGTCACATTCCTGGTCAATAACAAACTTGTTGCTGATGGTCTTGTTGGTGGGATAGAGCTGGGACCATGAGAACTCATTGCCGTTCTGCACCACCTCAGTAATGAGCTTGTAGTCGCGACCCTTCTCAATGATGTCATCAGGAATGCCTTGGATTACAAGAAAATATGTAGTTAGACTAGGGGTAATTTTGAATCCTATTCTCATATGTCTGAGCACAGTTGGAGCACCGTCGGTTTTCTATACTGATACTGCTAATCCCCAATGAATGTGCAGTGATGTGAATACATCCCTTTCAATACATTGCATAAACCAATTGAATTCAAGATGTCAAGACAAAGACTAAGGGTTTTCATAGTTTCTGTAGGCTATTACTTTATACAGGTGGTTATTAAACTTGAATAAATGTCTTACCAAGGAGCTTGCAGAATTCATCGTATCCTTCCTGGGACTCGGTTTCCCACTTTCCAGCGAAGGCCATGGTGTACAGAGAGCTGATGGGTAGAGGAGAGGAGAACGAAAAGCAGTTAGTTCCAAGGCAAGCAGGGAAGAGTAAGGTACTGAGTGACAACCTGTCCTTCTTTAAATAGACACGGCCACCATCTCCACCCTTCTTTCATGACACTGGGTACATCACTACCATTACTACGCCATAAACTTTTATGGTGCCATCGGGTATTATGGCGAGTCAGAGAGTTGGTGACCATGGGGTCACTCACCTTTCGCACATAGGCTACTATTGTATGGGGGGAAAAACCCACTGCACCTACCTGATTGACAGTAATACTACATCAATGGCAACATAGAGGTCCAAAGTCCCCCAGAACAGAGGACAAGATTGGACCATGCAACTCCTTCTTTAATTTGTTAGTCAACAGTGAATTACTTGGTGAGTTTACGGTCTGCCTCAGTCTGGGCCCTAAGGCTGCCTTACATAGAGATGACACAGGCTCTGAATCAACAACCGTTTCTCCTTGTCTGTTTAGTTATCCTCTGTCATTAGGAGTGTTGTCGTGATCTCTATGACAGCTACATACAGTGAGGGAAAAAACGTATTTGATCCCCTGCTGATTTTGTACGTTTGCCCACTGACAAAGACATGATCAGTCTATAATTTTAATGGTAGGTTTATTTGAACAGTGAGAGACAGAATAACAACAAAAACATCCAGAAAAACGCATGTCAAAAATGTTATAAATTGATTTGCATTTTAATGAGGGAAATAAGTATTTGACCCCTCTGCAAAACATGACTTAGTACTTGGTGGCAAAACCCTTGTTGGCAATCACAGAGGTCAGACGTTTCTTGTAGTTGGCCACCAGGTTTGCACACATCTCAGGAGGGATTTTGTCCCACTCCTCTTTGCAGATCTTCTCCAAGTCGTTCAGGTTTCGAGGCTGACGTTTGGCAACTCGAACCTTCAGTTCCCTCCACAGATTTCCTATGGGATTAAGGTCTGGAGACTGGCTAGGCCACTCCAGGACCTTAATGTGCTTCTTCTTGAGCCACTCCTTTGTTGCCTTGGCTGTGTGTTTTGGGTCATTATCATGCTGGAATACCCATCCACGACCCATTTTCAATGCCCTGGCTGAGGGAAGGAGGTTCTCACCCAAGATTTGACGGTACATGGCCCCATCCATCGTCCCTTTGATGCAGTGAAGTTGTCCTGTCCCTTTAGTAGAAACCCCCCCCCCCAAAGCATAATGTTTCCACCTCCATGTTTGACGGTGGGGATGGTGTTCTTGGGGTCATAGGCAGCATTCCTCCTCCTCCAAACACGGCGAGTTGAGTTGATGCCAAAGAGCTCGATTTGGTCTCATCTGACCACTACACTTTCACCCAGTTCTCCTCTGAATCATTCAGATGTTCATTGGCAAACTTCAGACGGGCCTGTATATGTGCTTTCTTGAGCAGGGGGACCTTGCGGGCGCTGCAGGATTTCAGTCCTTCACGGCGTAGTGTGTTACCAATTGTTTTCTTGGTGACTATGGTCCCAGCTGCCTTGAGATCATTGACAAGATCCTCCCGTGTAGTTCTGGGCTGATTCCTTACTGTTCTCATGATCATTGCAACTCCACGAGGTGAGATCTTGCAGGGAGCCCCAGGCCGAGGGAGATTGACAGTTATTTTGTGTTTCTTCCATTTGCGAATAATCGCACCAACTGTTGTCACCTTCTCTCCAAGCTGCTTGGCGATGGTCTTGTAACCCATTCCAGCCTTGTGTAGGTCTACAATCTTGTACCTGACATCCTTGGAGAGCTCTTTGGTCTTGGCCATGGTGGAGAGTTTGGAATCTGATTGATTGATTGCTTCTGTGGACAGGTGTCTGTTATACAGGTAACAAGCTGAGATTAGGAGCATTAGATTGTTGTTATTCTGTCTCTCACTGTTCAAATAAACCTACCATTAAGATTATAGACTGAACATTTCTTTGTCAGTGGGCAAACGTACAAAATCAGCAGGGGATCAAATACTTTTTTCCCTCACTGTAACTGTACTCTGCATTTTCCACCCTTGAGCAAAGAGCCTGGCGCTATGATGAGACCAGACCTAGAACTTGGCAGCACACAAGATCAGCTCATGGTAGGACAGTAAGCTCGTTACACCATCACCAGAACACCAGAGATAATCGTCAGGGGTGGACAGTCTGTTCGAGCACATCGGAAACACACATACCCACACACCTAGCCTCTGAGACCTTTCCAAAAAATGCACGCCCACAAATGCAATTCAGTGTACCACTTGCACATCAAACTTCCTACGGCTCCTATTTTTAGATACTACTCAGAGCAAGTCCCAACACTTGCCAAAAACGATGCAGAAATACACACACACACCAGTTTTTATTTCAGCGCGTTTTGAAATTAAAATGGCGTTTGTGAGGAAGCAACACATGCAGGTCAATACCCTTAAAGCCATAAGGGTAAAACCCACTGCTTGTCATAGAACCTCTCCTGATGAGTATGACCTTTCAAAATGCAAGCCACAAGACTGAATACATCTCACACTTTCGCATTTCCTGTAGCTCCAAATCTGTATGTAGGTTTACTTTAAATAGTAATCTCCACTGATCTGTTTTATTGAAAGCTTGACGGGTTACAGTAAGATCAAATAGAAATATCAAAGAAACCAATGCCCGATCAAGTCTCTCATTCTCCCCACATTGGGCTGCAGGGGTAGGTCTGTTAATGCAAGTTTTGAATCACCCAGATTCTGGGGGGGATAAGTTACAGTAACAGGCTATGTAACCCCTCTAGTCTGAGATAGTAGTTCTCCGCAGTGCAGAGGCCCATAGATCACAAGATATTTAGGAGATAATGTGCAGAAATAGTAATTATTTATTTAAAAAAAATTCTACTTTATTTAACCAGAAAAGATTTAAGTGCCTTTGAACAGGGTATCGTAGTAGGCACACTGGTTTGTGTCAAGAACTGCAACGCTGCTGGTTTTTCATGCTCAACAGTTTCCGTGTATATCAAGAATGGTCCGCACCCAAAGAACATCCAGCCAACTTGACACAACTGTGGGAAGCATTGGAGTCAACATGAGTGCAACTCAATCTAGAGGATGAGCTATACAGTGCAACTCAGTATTAGGAAGGTGTTCTTAATGTTTTGTACACTTAGTGTATTTCCAGATAATAAATTATACAATCCAGTGGATGAGCTATACTGTGCTTATGGCATGGGCAGAAAGTCACAGTAAATATTGTACACATGCTTGATGAGATGGTGCCATAAGTGTTGACTGTACATACTTGAATAACTTATGTAATAAGATCCTAATTTCTATACCTAGCCTACTGTAGGCTACTGTTTTTGATAGTTCATCGAATTACATAATGCTCTTCTAAATGTAAAAAAATGCTAATGTGAAATGCTTAAAACATTTAGATGAATAGGTAAGTAAGTTTATTCAGGTATTGGTTACTCATTGACTCATACTGTATTACCTTTGATTTCATCACATGAGTCGTTGTTGTACTATGCTATGAGAACACATAAAACTCTTTCATGATTTTATGCTCAACAGTGTCCTTCAGCACAGAGCTAAATCATTTTATTCCCTCTCAAGGGTTGAATCAGTTTGAAGACTGTAAAACACACTGAAACATAAACTTTTATAGTGCACCATACTCCTTCAAAGTACCCCTTACCAATGACAAATGTCATAATTGACAAATGTATGTCAATGTCATAACAATCAAATGTCATACAATCTTTCTCTGTTAGAAGTCATTTTTGTAAGGTGGTACTCTCAAAAGGGGTACTACTGTATCTCTTATGGATAATCTCTAATTCACACAAAGGACACACCTGTAACACAAATGCTCTTCCTCAACTGAAAATGTATTTCAGCTGCCTTGTCAAGTAATACTATTATCTCCCATCCACCCCAATAAAATATCCAACGGTATTTCCTGCTGAGCTGCTTTGACAGTGCCTTCCAGAGGAACCACCCAAAGCTCCCAAAAGGAAGTTTAGGTAAAAAGTTTCACTATGAACACATTAGGCCTAGGAGTGTCTGCTATAGCCCAAGATCTATATCAGGGGTGTATTTCAGACACTGCCGGCGCTGCTATAAAAATCCTGTAAAGTATCCATTGAATAATATGGAGGAGGGATATAGCAATGCATTGTATTTCTAGAATTGATCCATTCAGACACAGCTTTTATGCAGACGTAAATGGATGCAGACCCCTCGTTTTTGGATCCTGTCTTCAGAAACGGAGAAACTGTAAAGCTGTAGCATTCATAGACCTACCGGTAAGTTTGGTTTCTAAAGGAGACAAAGATAATGTGAGAATGAAATAGCAATGTGCAATTGTGGCCTAAGACTTAAACCTTATAAAGCCTTGCACCAGACCAGTCAGCAATCGTGAAGCTGAAGGCTATGCCAAGGACCAAAGCCATTAATTGCGCCTGTTGTTGTTGTCATTTGGACAGTAAGACAAGGCTGCTCAAACCGAGGCTCCCTAAAAACATGCTACTTAGATAGAGCTACAACTGGAAGTTACTTTTTCGTAACAGGTTAGGAGAATTTACGCAGCAGGTCAAGATAATTGACTTTACATGCATTTATTGTATAATGTGTTTGCTTGCCTCATATGAGACATATAATGACACAGTTATGCATAGTTTATACTAGTGAGTCACCTCCTGACGAATTCGAAGTGACTAATAAGTGTTAAATGCAATGCATTGTGTGTTTCCCAGACAACATGTTTGAAGGGAGAGATAGAATTAGAACCAAAGACAAAAGGTCCAAAGTCAATATAGCTAGGCCTACTGTAGATTTTGTAACATCTCTTCTTGAACCTCGTTGATGCTTGAAAGACAATACAATATCGCCCCTTGTGGCAAAGGTTCACAAAAGGTTTATTTTATGCCTGCTATGTTAGGTGATGGTTAGACAAAGGGAGCCAATTACAAAAGTGTTTCCAGGGGTTTCCTTTGAATGACGTGGATATTGACAACTCAACTACAACTTTATAGTTCGCTGGCCTATCAAGTGTTATTGGCTTTCAAGTGGGCGGGCTCTAGCGCTATCACAGGCAGAGGACGGGACCTGGCCGTAGAAGCAAAGCGGAAAGAAAATGGCGGCCGTGGCTGCGGAGCCAGGAGCTGATGCAGCATCAACAACAACAGCGGGGGACGGTGGTGAGCGCGAACCGGTGCCAGCTGTGCCGGGGGCCAAACTCGACTCCGATGCAACGCAGGAGTACGTGCCAGTAATGGACCTTGTTCACCAACTCAAGGATGGAGATGCAGTTCAGGAATGCAGCCAGGTCCAAATGGAGGTAGTGAGCAGGCCAGACCAAGCCGCGGGAAAAGCCCTCGCTGCTTGTGCAGAGGATGAACACATCGATACAGGCTGTCTCAGGGTCGCCGTAGAAAATACCGAGAACCATGCTCGCGAGGGCTATGGTTCGAAATACACCATGTCGAGGGCAGAACGTTTGAAACAGTTTTTTTCGCCGAATGTTGATCCTGCAAACGAGGTCAGTAAGCACGAGCCCTACGCCTGCCATCAGAATAGCTCCATCTCCGATTCACAGCCATCGGTGATCTTTTTGCATTCGTTCCCTGCGCATCCTGTGGCTACGGAGGCTGGGCTGTCGTTGGCAGAACCAGCAGAGCCCATGATCGATTACTATCAAAACACAGAATTAACCCAACCTACTATTATCGAGTGTGACTATAGAGCTTTAATCAAACCGTCTCACGAGACTGAACTGGAGCCCGAACCCGCAGATGATGCTCCTTCTAGTACCGAGTACAAGGCTGAGTCTTTGGAAGATGGCTTTCTTGAACATCCCCAGGACATAGACCATGTCGAGACTCTGCCAGTTCTAGAGACAGAGACACTCCTTGGAACACCCATGGAGACTGGATACATTTGTGACTTTTCGAGCATCACAACCCAGAACTCTCCGAGTCCCGAGCTTCCTGTAATGGCAGTGGGTCAGGTTCCCTCCTCAGCAGAACTTGGGGACTGGTGCTCACCACAGCGGAGTTTGGAAACAAACTTCCACGAGAGCGAGACAGTAATGAAACCCAGTCCCCCCATGTCCGTTGCTGAAACTGAGGAGGTACAGCCCGAGTCAGTGGACAACCTGATACTTGGTTCCGAAGTTCGAGTATCTCTGGATCACATCATCGACGACGCACTGGTGGTGTCCTTTCGGTTGGGCGAGAAGATCTTCTCAGGGGTTCTGATGGACCTCTCTAAAAGGTATATTATGATCCTTCTCAGAAATGTCTCTTATATTTAGTTTTTTACCACATTTGTTTTTCTATGTCACTTCCTGACACTTTTTCTGTCCCTTAGCTTACTTCTGGAAACACACCACTGATTTTTGTTTACTACTGATATCCACTGCACAATATGCACATACAATATTACACTACAATTCACACCTGAAAGATGTGGTGCTTCCTCATTCCGACTTGTCAGCTGTCAACAAAGGAAACAGACCTTGTGCTTTGCAAACCCCTGCCCCATCCTTCTGACCTAAACCGACAGTTTTCTACTCTTGCCAGGGGTCGAGGGGTCAAGCTCCGTAGTTTGACAACTCATCACAAAAATACAGAGGAACTGCTCTTATCCCCAATTATGTGAGCAGTGCTTTCGGTTTCAGTCTTTTCAGTTTACAAAACTAAACTTTGTTTCTATTTAAGAAGTCCAGGTATATCAGAGGTCAGCTGAAGAGGGTGATCACAGGCTCAGTCTGTAGTGTAAGGTCAGACTTAGAGAATGATGCAGTTGGTAGGGTAGTTGGTGGCTATGCCACTATCAACAACCCCTTTCGGATTCTATTTTATATCCTCCTTGTAATTTGTCTCCCGTCTCATCAACACCTTTCCTCCATCCCTCCCTTCTCTCACATTATCATCTGCAGGTCTATATTTTGGTTCATAATTAAACTTGCTGATATGCCTGGGAACTATGTTGAATATCTTCATTATGTTTAGCAAAGATGACATCAGCACACACAAAACTTTACCAAACTATCAAAAAGGAAATCAACACCTTGTTGTGTTTTAGTTTCCCTCACAAGCTGCTTACAGCTCATTATGGAGTTGCTCTTCAGGACTTCATATAATATCAGGGTATTCTTCTGGTGTTATACCATATACGCTATTAATACATGGCAGGATTTGCTATAACTTGGAAGCCACATTAGTGTAAGTTGCTATGATAAGATCCTGAGCAGCAGTCATCCCAAAGACAATGGCCAGTTCATTGCAATGACAAGATGGAGGCCACTCAAACCTTACTGCTTCATTTTCTATAGTACTGTAGATAATCAACATCATCCCCTCTCTACAAACAAAATACTCAATTTTTAGATCGTCATTGTTGAGTCTAAGGGATCGGTTTATGGCTTTTGTTTTCCAACAGTCCCCTGAGTGCAGGCCTTGTCCCTGTGATTGGCCAGAGTCTGTTCCATAGCATAGGTCATATGGAATCATTGTTTTTCCCATTGGATGTGTGCTCAAGATGAGAAATGAGTCTTTGTCTTTGGTTTAGACTAACTCGCCTATAGACGTCGACCTGGTCCTAAAATAACATCGACTCTACCCGTCCCCTACTAAGGCACTTGTGTATGTATCTGGAAAGATGGGTATTAGCAACAATATGGTGGAAATTCCACCCACCTATCCTATCAGAGGGAAAGTTGGAGCTGCTACCATATTGTATATTTATCAAATTGTTTCAAATCTATGAAGTGCCAAGGGGGTAGGGGCTAGCTGTTGTTTCTGGCCCAGGCCGACTTTTTGCCTAGCTGACGGTCACCTGGTGTTGATGAGGAAGGAAAAGATGGTGGTTGTGTGTTAATGAAAGGTGATGGTTGATAAGGAGGCTGCTGTGAAAAGCTGTGATGGAAAGGCAAGGCAGTGGTGAGAAAAGGCATGTTCCTCTCTTGCTGTTGGCTGTTTCATTCATTGTGATCAGAGTGAGACACTCACTAATCCTTAACTCTCCAGTGCAATTTTACACTTGGTTTTGGTTGTCACAGAGGAATCTGCATCTTCGGCGGTTTCAATTATGTTTATAAGTAGCAATGGAGGGGCTCATGGCCAGATTAGATGTAGGCTACTTGCTTATGGGCATTTCCATCAAGAAGAACCCATGAGCACCATCATGTGAAGTTCATAGGAGCATGTGAAATGAAAGCGAAGTCTATATTTTTGGGAAATATACATTTTTCAAAAATGTTTAATCTAAAATATTAGGCATAAGTAAAGGCAGATGGAAATGGGGTCTTTATACATTTACATTTTAGTAATTTAGCAGACGCTCTTATCCAGAGCGACTTACAGTTAGTGAGTGTATACATTTTTCATACTCTTAGAAAACATCTACCAGAAAAAGTCTTAAAAGGTATCAGAAATACATCAAAACACAATGTTGACGTAAAAACACTGCCAACTAATATCAACACTTATTTAGTTTTGGAGAAATGGTTTACCTTCAAGTTTGATGAAATATTGCCTTGTAATTCCGTTACCAAAAACACACATCTTTAAGACATTTTGTAATTTCGGATAATGAAAGTTCACAGAAGTAACCAGTAATGGTAAACCTACCAATTTAGTATTTTACCGATATCAATTTTGTTAATGAATTAAGTGATTAAAACTCGTAATTCCATTACGGAATTGGTAAAGGAATTACCAAAAAATATGTAACGTAATTACTGTAACTGAAATGGCTTCAATGGAAAATCATAATAGTCAAACAGTTGGATCACATGCTACTGTCCTCCCTTCCACTGGCATACTGTTATGTTCAGCTTATAACGGTTGTCTTTCTCTTTGTAATTTGGTGGTCAAACCAAGAGTGATAAAACAGTCTGACTCTGGACAACCCCTGCCTCTCCCTTTTTCCTCGCTCTCTGCCCTTTTCTCTCACTCTCCAGTTAATGTCACCTCTCCCTGGCTCTTACTGACACCTACCCATGAGCCCCCTGTAACCAGCATCCTAACCCACTGAGCACCGACCAACACCGGATGTCCATGGATGTTGAAAAGTAGTTAATTTGGTCAGTCCACCCTTACGTTGATGGTAACGTCCACAGACTGACTGGACCAAATCTGAACCTATCATAGACATATGTTTCACAAGATTGGATAGTACAGTACAGTGAGTAGAGCACACAATACAGTACAGTCCATTACTGTAGTACAGTAGAGTATTGTACTGTACTCTACTGAACTATATTGCACTGTACTGAACCCTACCCTACTCTGCTTTGCTGTATTGTACTCTACTGTGCTCTGCTGCACTGTGATGTCCAAACTTGTTAAACATGAGAATCAGGGGTCGCGTTAATAGTTCAGAAATCATCATTTTCAAAAGGCAGACCATCAACAAAATCTGTGTTTTTAAACCATACCACTTGCATTTTATATTGACAGTCAAGTGTTTTGCTTCAATACAGTACTCAGGGGCGTGCAACTATAGTTTTCCTTCACAGAAAATACATTAGTGCAACACATTCGGCAGAAAATAGCTTAATTTTCATCAGATGACAAAAGAAGTGCAAAGCTATTTGGCTAGCAGCCACACAAGTAAATGAGCGTACAATAAAAAACGATGCATGGCCATTTCTAATGTTTATCATAGAAAGAATGTAGCCAGCTACATTTCCTAATGTTTTGCTTGAAGTTAATCTGACATTTTACTGGAGAAAAGTAGGCTACACCGAGAAAAGTACCAGAGAAAAGTAGCTACACATTAGTCAGCACTGTCTGTTGATAGAATACCCATTTGTGAATTCTCATCTGAGTGGAGAAGTGCAACTGAAGCACAAAATTAGTCTGATGCCAAGCAGAACTTACAATATGAAGCATTTTAGATCAGCGTTTACAAAATGCAGCAAGATGACGCATAAGAAATAGGCGTATCTTTTTTAGCGCAACCCCTGAGAATGACATTCATATCCATAATTATGCATTTCTGGGTATTACAGATCAGGGACCCATGATGTAATTCCGTTACCGGGTCTGGGTGTAAATCCACTTCACTTACAGACATCTTTGAATCTTAATTCGGAGCAGATCGTTTTTGGGAAATGTGGTTGCATAAAATCCTGAGAGAGATTTTACCGAAATTCCGTTACCAAAGTTTGCATCTGCATCTATCCACTAAATTAGTTTTTGTAACATTTTCAGTGGAAATTGTTAAAAGTAGTCCTTGTGCATAGAGTTATGGTTTATAAAACTTTTAAATCAATGGTTTTTGTTTGGCATACATTTTAAAGTGGAAAAAACGGAATCAAAGCGTAAATCCGTTACCGTGGAATTGCCCTTATGTAACTGCTAGGGAAACAATTAATTTTGAACCGCACACATCCCCTCCCATTTAAATAGATTGAAAGTTTGAATGTAGGCCTAATTGCAGTAATTGAGTACAAGCATCCCAAACCTCGTGTTTAATATTATGCCCTCCAAAAATTGAGCTCAGGTGCATCCTGTTTCCATTGATCATCCTTGATGTTTCTACAACTTGATTGGAGTCCACCTGTGGTAAATTCAATTGATTGGACGTGATTTGGAAAGGCACACACCTGTCTATATAAGGTCCCACAGTTGACAGTGGATGTCAGAGCAAAAACCAAGCCATGAGGTCGAAGGAATTGTCCGTAGAGCTCCGTGACAGGATTGTGTCGAGGCACAGATCTGGGGAAGGGTACCAAAAAATGTCTGCAGCATTGAAAGTCCCCAAGAACACAGTGGTCTCCATCATTCTTAAATGGAAGAAGTTTGGAAAGACCAAGACTCTTCCTAGAGCTGGCCGCCCGACCAAACTGACTGGGAGACTAGTCAGGATCGAGGGAAAGATGAATGGAGCAAAGTACAGATAGATCCTTGATGAAAACCTGCTCAGGACCTCAGACTGGGGCGAAGGTTCACCTTCCAACAGGACAACGACCCTAAGCACACAGCCAAGACAACGCAGGAGTGGCTTCGGGGCAAGTCTCTGAATGTCCTTGAGTGGCCCAGCCAGTGCCCAGACTTGAACCCGATCGATCATCTCTGGAGAGACCTGAAATTAGCTGTGTAGCGACGCTCCCCATCCACCTGACAGCGCTTGAGAGGATCTGCAGAGAAGAATGGGAGAAACTCCACAAATACAGGTGTGCCAAGCTTGTAGCGTCATACCCAAGAAGACTCGAGGCTGTAATCGCTGCCAAAGGTGCTTCAGCAAAGTACTGAGTAAAGGGTCTGAATACTTATGTTTTTGCTTTGTCATTATGGGGTATTGTGTGTAGATTGATGAGGGAAAAAAAAGAATTTAATCCATTTTAGAATAAGGCTGTAATGTAACAATGTAGAAAAAGTCAAGGGGTCTGAATATTTTCTGAATGCACTGTATGTCACGCCCTCTGCATCCATTTTGCTGTCACGTGTTCAGAGTTTGTTATAACCCATTTATTGATGTGATTATGATATGCTGTAGGTCAGGCCCCATTGGTCACGTGCATGCAATGCATACATGTGTCGCATAAAGAGAGCAAGTCAAGGGTTGAGGGAATAGGGAATGTGTTTCCTTAACATAATGAGGTATTTCGTTAACAGAACTTTTCAGTCAGAAATGGCTGTAATTATGTTGCAGCTTCAGCAACACGGACAGCGCGATAAACACTTGAAGTTCTGTAGTGGTCGCTGCAGCAGGGAGGAGAGCGGGACACCGGGTGCTAGTCACACAGTCGCTCGCTGTCATTTATTTTTAACACAGCGCAGCAAGTCTGAGCACAATCAAATCAATTAAGGTTGGATTCCCTCTAGTCATTTGTGTATCTTAATTATTTAATCAAACAGTGCGCTTAAAGCATCAGACAAGCTCAGTGCATATAGTTGATTTGATTATCACACATAGGATGTTTCTATATATGGAAAAATACACATTTAAACATTTTTACAAATCGATTGGTCGAAAGAACAGACGACTCTGTCTACCAAAATTTTTTTTAGTTGGGGACAGCCCTAAAGTACACAAAGGTAGAAATATGCAATATCTTTCTTTTGCATATTTGGGTATTTTTCTACACACTGGTTATTATTGTAATGAGCTACGCCCCCAAACAAGACCTAATTTGGTTGTTCCGGACTAGACCAAATCTGAAACAATCATAGACGTATATGTTTCACAAGTTTGGACATCACAGTAGAGTTCAGTACAGTACAGGGCCCAGACGCCAAAAGCATCAAGGCTAAGTTCATCGTTAGAACCTTCATAAGAGCATCTTTACATTTCAGAGCCGTTTCCCAAACCGTCTTTATTAACATTGCACTTGCTTGACTGCTGTTTGACAAATACAAATATTCTCTTATCCATAATAATCTCATCATGTAGACTAACCTACCCACACATCCTATCCACACTGTATCTGCGAGCTATTGGCTCGAGCGCAGGTGCCAAGACCAGAGTAGGCACATATTTAACGCAACAGTTTGTGACAAAACTATAATTAGAGTTGAAAATACGAAGGAAACACATTGAACTTTAGATTTTTATTCGGTGCATTTTGTGTGCACTACGTCATCACGCACTGATTGTTGGCTGAAACACCACTGGTGGGTAAATGCGCATATTTTCTTCTGTCGCCAGTTGGATGGAAACCTAGCTATTGATCCATTGTTTTGTTGGTGGTTCGGTCCAATAGAGTTAGCATATGATAAATCTTGTCCTGTATTTGCGCTTGATGCACTCACTAATGCAGCATAGGGACACATTTACCCAAGGCCATCTATCTCTGTATAGCTCTGTCATCTCTCTGTGACATAGGGATTATTTTAGGAGGTGCTTTGGTAGGAAACATAGTGTACTGCATATGATATCTCAGCCTAGAAACGAGCTAAACTAGGCCTATGTAGTGGTAGTTGAACCTCTTGACCTATAGTATCTGGAGAATGTTCAGTAGGGTCGGCAGTTTTAAGATTTTGGTTGAGCTGAAGTTGTCATGGTGTATAGGGGTTCTTCTGGGGTTAAAAAATATATTCTGCCATGGTAACAACTGAGCCACCCCTGAAACTTTTATAGGCTTATTCAGATTTGTTCATTTTTGGGTTAATGGTAGCGTTGAATTTAGGCTAGGCCTGCTTCATTGGAAGTGAGTGATCATATAGGCTATGTCTGGTTTGCTTTGCTTTGCTTTGCATGGCCCACATCTCTACACCTCCTTCTGGAATTTCATTTTGAAGAACACTCAGTCAAATAGAGAAAACAAGGCTGTTGTTAGACAGGCAGCGCAATTCAGATTTTTTTCCCATTAATTGGTCTTTTGACCAATTCAGATCAGGTCTGAAAAAGATCTGATGTGAAAAGATCTGTGATTGGTCAAAATACCAATTAGTGTAAAAAAATATCAGAATTGTGCTTCCTGTGTCAACGCAGCCCAAGAGATGTTGAAATGTGTGTCAGTTTCAACCCAAGAGTCAGTTCTGATCCCAAATCATAGGGTAGGGTTTGATAAACACAGTCATGGAGTTTCTGCTGCCACCTTCACTTGTAGCTGCCTTATTAAAACATTATTTGTCTCACTTTCTCTTTTAATGAATAAAGCTGTAGGGAAGTTGAGCATTAATATTGTAAACAAGGCTTGTTTTTTTCCCTTTGTTTTTAGGGCCTTGTGCACTCTAGTTACCTATGGTGATTTTGTGTTTTAGGCTGTGGGAGCTCCTTTGATCTTTTGCAACACTTAATTTAATCTTTCTTCTTTGAATGTTCAGGATCGAATTGTTTTAAATTGATGTCCTAAATGTACCTATATAGGCCTAAATGAGAAACATCTTGAATTAGCATGAAATCTTTGAGGAATATAAGACAAACAAAAAACAAGTTTAGAGTTTAGTTTTTATAGTTTCTAAATCCTCTCATTTTTCTCTTCTCAGGTTTGGACCCTATGGAATTCCAATCACTGTGTTCCCAAAGAGAGAATACAAGGATAAACCTGAATCTATGCAGCTAAAGACAGAACCATTCCAACCAGAGAAGGTGGAAAAGCCAGTCCAGGAAAACCCTGACAGCCAAGTCGTCGCAATCCCCGAACCAAACCCTGACCCCCAGCCTGAGCCTAACCCATGGACTTCAAAACCTCCGCCGCTGTTTCAGGAGGGAGCCCCTTACCCTCCGCCATTGTTCATCAGGGACACCTACAACCAGTCGTTACCTCAGCCGCCCCCCCGCAAGATCAAGCGGCCCAAGCGCAGGCTGTACCGCGAGGAGCCCACCTCTATCATGAACGCCATCAAGTTGCGGCCCCGCCAGGTGCTCTGTGACAAGTGCAAGGGGGCTGTCACGACCGTGGACAAGAGGGAGCCACGCAGAGGCCCTGGGTCGGACTCTAGGGGCGAGGACGCCAAGCGGAGACGCAACGACAGTGCAGCTACTGTCGGCAAGCGGCCACGTAATGACCCTCGCTCTGAGGAGAAGTGCCGTGCTGCTGAGGCATCCAAACGGCAGGCCTCAGGGATACAAGTCTCCTCTTCCTCTTCTCTGGGCCAGGTGAAGGGCGGAGCTGGAGGGAACAGGGTTCTGAGGGCAACCTCCACCACAACATCACCACCGGCCAACAGCAGCTCCAGAGTCCAGCTCAATGCCAAGAAAGTGCTGCAGAGCAAAAACGTTGATCACTCCAAGGCACGGGAGGTGCTGAAACTGGCCAAGGCGCAGAAGAGGCAGCGAGAGACTACAGTGGTCACTGGCAGCAGTGGCAACGCCAAAACCATGACGAGGGCCGCTGCCCTGCAGGAGGCCCACGCCCACCAGAAGGTCCACTTCACCCGGCGGCTGCAGCAGATCAGCGGGGTGGGACCAAGCAACGCCACCCCTCTCCCACCCAGGATGCGCATCAAGCCCCAAAGGTACCGTAATGAAGAGAATGACTCTTTTACATGTAAGCAGCTTTGCCTCGAGAAAGTGCCGGGAAATGGCCGTTTGTCCCCTCCAAAGCCATGCGCGCCCCGCTGTACCTCCACACGCTCCTCCTCCTCCTCCTGCTCCACAGGCGAGGCCACTGCTGCTGAAAACCAGGGCCCAGATAAAGGGCCAGAACCTGAGCTCAGTCCTCAGCCCCAATCCCAGCCCCAAGTGGAACCCCCCACAGCCAAGGAGCACAGCGACCCCAAGGCGGAGCCAGAGGAGCAGGGGGGGCAGGAGGGGAGGCGGGAGACGCGCGGCAGCAAGGCTGGCAACCTTGTGGTGTACATGACCCTTAACCCCAGCCAGCCTGACTCCGCTAATACCTCCATGTGCAGCGTTGATAGTGCAGACGACTTAAAGTCCTCAAACTCAGAGTGTAGCTCTACCGAGACCTTTGACTTTCCCCCTCCCGGTGATTTGCACTCGCCCCCCGCCCCTGGCACGTCCTCAGCAGTCACTGACACCTCGCCTGCACCTACGGAAGAGAAAAAGCCCCATAAATCTCAGAAAGTGTTTTCCAAAAATGTGTCTAAGTGTGTCTCTCTGGACGGCAGGAGCATTTGCGTAGGGGACATCGTTTGGGCCAAAATATATGGTTTCCCTTGGTGGCCAGCCCGCGTCTTAGGCATCCAGGTCAGCCGCAAAGATAATGGGCTCTTAGTCAGGCAGGAGGCCCGTGTCGCCTGGTTCGGTTCACCCACCACCTCCTTCCTGGCACTTGCACAGGTCGCCCCCTTTCTAGAAAGCTTTCAGTCACGCTTCGACAAGAAGAGAAAGGGCTTGTACCGTAAAGCCATCACAGAGGCAGCCAAGGCTGCCAAGCAGCTCACTCCCGAGGTTCGCGCCTTGCTTACGCAATTCGAGACGTGAGGTGGTGTGCTTTGGGGAAAAGGAAAGGTAGGCAAACATGCCCCCCCCCCCCCTCCCCTCCCCTGCTAGTCACCTGCCATGACCCTCACCTTCCAGGGAGAAAGAAACTAAATATTTCAGGCAAGACAACCAGGACACAAAAAGGGACCGACTGGGTTGGTCTTATACACATTGCTGCATATATAAAGATGGCAGTGTATTTTTATTTTATCCTCCTTATCAAATTTCACTTATTTATCCAACCTGGTGGAAATCTGGTCATTTTAGATTTTTTTACAGAATGGTTGGTGATTGGAATATTCTCCTTATCTTAAATTGAGGCCTTTAAGTTTCACTCTATGTGCAAAGAAGCTTATGTCATCTTCTAACACCACGGGTTCATAGGTTTGCTTGATTTGCTGCCAACTGTCAATCTTAAGAGACAAAAAGTGTATTTCTTTCAGTCTATGCAACAAACGGTTCAGTTTCAGAAACTGTGAACAGAAAGTTGCAGGATCTGAGCAGCAGTAAACATTATGTATCTGTGCTGGTGGAAGACATGTACTGTAGCTGTGATGTGACGAGGAAGTGGACCCTGGTGGATGTAAAGACCGAGCAGGCATAGGGGCTTAGGTACCTGCGGTATCTCAGACAGAGCTGACTGGCTGTGGGAGCGAGCTGGCAGGCCGGTAAGCTCTTGATCACCGTGTGGCACACTGCCAGCCAGGGCTTTCCAGACAGTTGAGCCGGGGTTGTGAGGATGTGCCTGTAAGCCAAAGTCACCTCAAGTGCCGGTGAGAGGAGGATGGTGCGCTGCTTCTAATCCCCCTCTGAAAGCAGAGATGGCCGCAGGGCAGTAGAAACAGTACTGAGAGCGTGCCCGCTCACCTCCACCCCCCTCATACCTCCCCAGTGCTACATCATTTGGTCCCCTTGGGCCTCTTATAGGCCTCCTCACCTCTCCCCCTGCCTCTGCCCCTTTATCGCTCCTCATCTGACTATGTCCTGTCTGTAGTCTCTATACCTAATGCTCCTCTGAGTTAACCAAGAATGTTTTAGTACTCTCTGGTCTTCCTATCTAGCTCCTTGATTTTGCATGCTGTTATACATAGAATGATGCCCAATTGGCCAATTGTTTTAAATTCACTGATTTTAATTGTCTGCATCGGGACATTTTAAACAAAAATGTTAGTTGATGCAACGATGGCTTACTATGAAAATGATATTGAGTCAACTAGCATTGACAGAGGGAAGCCATTTTAGTTACTCCTCTCATATACGTGTGGTATGGCACATTACAGGGATTGACTATTTTTGCTCAGTTATTTTGTACAACTTTTACTATGGGTTTGCCATGTCTTGTTGACTTACTAAGTAGTTCAGTGATTTCTCAGAGTTCAGCTGTTACTCAACCCTATTTGAGTTGGAATGTGTTTGACTTTATTTGGTGTGTCTGAACATTATCTTCCATCACTTCACTGCTTGGCTGATCTCATACGACTGCGAATCTTGATTTTATATATTATGTACAGTACAAACTGTATCAAATTATTTTCAATGGATTTTTATGATAAATAATGGAAAAAGGGTTTTCTTTTGTTTGGCTGAAGGGTTGTGAGGAAAGGTTACCTCTCCTGTTCTGTAATTATGGGTTCACTTCAGATTTGACCATTTCATCACCAAACTGATGACTAATTACATTTCCTAAAAATGTTCCTGTTCATTTACCTACCTACCTACATACCTATCCACTCTGACTAAATATTAAGGGACATACAGTAAGACCAACATCGCCTCACCTTTGCCCTTTTGGCCCGAACAGGTAGAGATCTAAGGCTTATTGCTTGGTAGAGCACACTGACATGACCATTGTTACAAGCAGAGAGAAAGTGTATTATTATGACGGTTGGCTCTGTTTCTTTCTGACTTCTATTTTGGACTTATCATCCGTTTGCAGATCAGAGAATGCTGTATAGGGGACAAAACTGTTGAAAAAGTAACAGTTGAAGAGTACTTGTGTAAATGTTTTCTGATGTTTTTAAAAAGTATTATAAATAAAATGTCAACTTCAAGAATCTTACCTAGTTGTCTTCATTTTAGTGCTCCAACTTCCATTAACACCTACAAATCCAATGCCATTTATAAGCCTTCAGTTTCACTTTGAAACAAGCTGGAATAAAAACATTGGTCATTTGGAATGAGATATTTCTATTGTCCCCTTTGTACTAAAATGGGGGCATTTTAAGTTGACAATGACCATGCCTTTTAATTGTGGCTTGTGGTCTTTATAATAGCTGCCATTAACTGCAAATGTGTGTGGGGCTTTTATGAAATAGCAGACCTGTAGAAAAATATTTGCCAGTCAAGCCCGTCTACCACTTGAGGCTATTGGTACATTAACAATAATGAGAGGAAAGGGCTGAATGTGGAGCATTTTTTGGGAGTAAAATCATTCCTTTTATTGAACAGATTTTCTTACCTGCAAACAGACATAGGTCATTGACATCATAGGCTAAAAGAAGCCATTGTTAGATGGATGTCAGTCAGTGGATCCAAAGCAATGCATCTTTGACTGGCATCATGGCATTTAACATTTAGGGGGAGTTTGATGGTTCCATCCTCTAATTGTTTGGTTGTAAATGAAATAGTACTGAGTTTTTGTTTGAAATACAAATGAAAAAGGCTACGTACACTGAGTGTACAAAACATTAGGAAAACCTTCCTAGTATTGAGTTGTACCCCTTTTGCCCTCAGAACAGCCTCAATTCATCGGGGCATGGACTCTACAAGGTGTTGAAAGCATTCCACAGGGATGTTGGCCCATGTTGACTCCAATGCTTCCCAGAGTTGTCAAGTTGGCTGGATGTCCTTTGGGTGGTGGACCATTCTTGATATACACGGGAAACTGTTGAGCGTGAAAAACCCAGAACCGTTGGCAGTTCTTGACACACTCAAACCAGTGCGCCTGGCACCTACCATCATACCACATTCAAAGGCACTTCAATATTTTGTCTTGCCTATTCACCCTCTGAATGGCACACATACATACACAATCCATGTCTCAAGCCTTTAAAAAAAATAATCAATCTTTAACCTGTCTCCTCCCCTTTATCTACACTGATTGAGTGGATTAAACAGGTGACATCAATAAGAGATAATTGCTTTCACCTGGTCAGTCTGACATGGAAAGAGCAATGTTTTGTACACTCAGTGTATATATCCATGTTCGGGAGCAGCATCCACATAACATTACGTAAATAAAGGAGCCGATCCACACAGCAGCAGCATTTCAAGGTTACCAAGGTTGAATCTCAAGGACATTTGAATAATCTGTAGAGTGAATGCATGGCAGACCAGCACACTGCTGAAACGTTATCACAGATTACGATGACTCATTTGTGATGTATATCTTGGTTTGCCACTGTCAATCAGATACTTGTTAGGCTGAGGCATCCGTGCAGCAGAACTTAGGTATAGATCCCTCATTGAGACACACAGGACCTCTCCCAAAATGCCTTAGGGGTGTCCTTGAGCCCAGAAATGGTGCCATTGCAACATGAACAATGTACCGTTAGGAGTAGGAGGTTAATTCCTGATTTCACTCAAGATCACTGGAGTCCCCTCAAAAACCTTATGTTGTTGGCAACTGACCTACAGCCCTTATTCAGTGAACATTTTAGTATTTGTAGGAGTGCACTTCCTGTCATGTACCATAGCGTCTGCATTTTCAATGTCTCAGTGCTTTGATAAAAAGCTTTTTTAATGGCATGCACTAAAACCTTTTGAATCTGCTTTGTTCAGGCCAAATACAGAAAGAACATGGATGAAAAGGTCCCTGATGTGTTCATTTCTCTCTCTGTCTTCTCTTCCAGTGCTGCAACGCTGAAGGGCTGCTGATGGGTCCTTTACACTGCCATTGGTTGAGAGACTGTCGGATGGAGACGTCAGCGACATAATTATTTTTATTTAAGTATCGGAAGAAGGAACATTTATATATTTATAATGAATTGCAGACCTACTCCACCTCTGGGCCTGTCCATCATGCTGAATACCATTTGATTTGTTTGAGCAGGCGTCCATGTCCACAAGCATGTGACCTTAGTTTGAGTGAGGACATCTGCAGAGTAGACGAGCACACAGGGTCTCTGACCATTATAGATATCTATTACATTTGTATTACATACATGTTGACAGGACACAGGATTTTGCAGGGTTTTTAGTATGTTGATCAGTGATCTTGAAATGCAAAGACAAAAAAGGAATAAAAACAATACTATGTAAAAAAAAAAAAAATATTAATGCAATAAAGATTGCATGTGCTATGCTATTACAGTGCATTTGCAGAAGGCTGTGCTTTGTTGTGTTGATGCGGTCTTGAAAAATAATACTGGTGTCTCAAGCCCCGTTTATACCTGGTGCTAACTTGCGTCCTGTGTCCTGATCTTGTCCACATTCTGATAGTGTCCACATTTTTCAAGAGAAGTGATTGTGATCAGATCTACCTGACCACCTCAGGAGGTAGTCGGGGACACGTAGCTAGATATCTTAGAAGTGTAAACAGATCTGGATTATCAAACCATTTAAATCGTCCCTCTTGACTCAAGGCAATATTTGTCTTAACATAGAATAGAAATTAGCATTAATACGCTGAATTATACCTTTTTTGAGAAAGGGGATGGGGAGGATTAGAACCTGTGACCTTCTGGCACTAGCTCAAGTCTCGTCACATATTTAAAGCTGTTCAGTCAGAAAGTTAGTAGATTAGAAATGTGATGTTAAAAATGTTGGTTAAGGTTAAAAAACAAATCTCAACTGGGGTTTGAACTGGCAACCTTGCGGGTCGCAACCAATGATACACACACTATATATATATATATATATATATACATATTATATATATATATATATACATATTATATATATATATATATATATATATATATATATATACACACATATACATATTATATATTATATATATATATATATATATATATATATATATATATATATATATATAT